GCGCGCGCATGTTCATGTGTGTGTGCGTGCACGTGCCCGCCTGTATATTCGTCTGTGCATGTGTGCGCGCACCCGTATGTTCGTCCGTGTGTGCGCACACATGCACACCCTGAGGTAGATCATTTGTTGTTAAGTAAAGGTATTAAGGGTTATGGGCCAAAGGAGTCAGGCCACCCATCAGCCATGATCTCATTGAATGTCAGACAGGCTTGAGGGACTGAGTGGCCTGCTTTTGTTCCTCTGTGTGTCTTTGTGTATGTGTTCACATCATTCAGTGTGGGATTGATCCTAGCTGATCTTCACACCATTAAATACTTTAATGTGTATTTGTTTTTAACTTGTTGCTGACAATTTTTGATAAAAGACAGGATTCTTATAATGGTTTATTTTTCCTCTCTGCACAGCTCTCCTGTCATCGTGGTGCGAGGATTTAGGGCGGCTCCTGTTACTTCGCCACCAGAAGAGTCGTCAGAACGACACCCCTGGTAAACTGCCCATGCAGCCGCCAATGAACCCTATGAGCACTATGAAACCAACACTCCCTCCTGGGCCCCACAGGTCAGTCACCATAAATCTGACTCCCTTTCTCCCTCAGTCTGCAGGCAGAGTGTTTGTACCCAATGCAAAAATGGTTGTGGTGATGCATCTGTATGTGTGCAGTTAGACCCATTTCTGTGAGAATCAGCCCCTGTTCACAGCACTGTGGTTAGTCTTCAGTCAGAACCAAGTGCCCCTCACTGAAAACAGCAAGGCAGATCCAGTTCTCACTCTGTCCTTACTCAATTATGCAATAATCTCACTGTTAATCCTGCAGAGAATTACAGATCTTTAAAACGATGAATCAATGTACATTCCGAGAATTGAAAGCAAGGACCACTCCCACTCAAAAGCAGTTGCTAATGCAGTCATTTCAGGTCTGTGAAAATACCGACTTTCCACAGAAGGGGGAGGCGGATCAGGGAACGATGGGCCAGTGTTCAGTTTGTAGGTCAAGCGTTATTATGTTCTGTACAACTCTCTTACCTTTTGCAGACTGCAACACACTAACCAGAAATGCAACAGAGGTGTAGGCTGTTGTTGAAACTGGGTGCCATTGCCCTGATGGTTAAGAAACAAGTACAAATCTACCACCCAAGGAGAAACAACAGTGAGCTGCTTCTCAAACACTTTCCACAACAAAGATTTGTGATTGGAGTTTTGAAAGTTAATACTTAAGACTGTGCAAACATTGCCTGGACTATGAGTGATCTGATATCTGGAGCCCAGAGTGATCTGCCGATCTCTGGGACTGTTGGTGATCTATCTCCGATGATCTGCTGTCTAAGATTGTTAGTGATCTGTCAATCTCCAGAACTATTAGTGATCTGGTGATCCACTGTGATCTGAGAACGTTTGTGATCTGCTGATCTGAGGCTGTCAGTGACCTTCTGATTGCTGTGATCAGTTGTGGATTCAACAGTGATCTGATGTGGATCTCACCAGTGATTGTGAAGTTGGCGTGACTTGGGCACAGGTGAAAAGGAAGTTTGGCACTATTACTTTGTGTGTGTGTGTGGCCAGATTCTGCTCAGTCGTGAAAATTGCAGATTTTTTTTAGGAGACAGTGCAGGTTGTGGCAAGGGAGTTTACTGCTGTGTACAGAAAATAAGGCAATAATGTTAGTTTGCTTCAACTCAGCATTCTGCAGTGGTGCACCTATTTCTGCCTATTTTAACCATAGACAGAATGTATAAGATATAATATCCATTAACAGAGATATTGTTCAGGATAGCTTTTCTGAGATGTTAAATTTTAAAGCAACATTATTTTGGAAAATAGAATTGCTGCTGTAAATGAGGTGGGTGAATCTATTAACCTTTTATTTGTGAAACTGGCAAAGCTTATTGAATGGAAGGTTGTCACCAACCTCCTGGTTTTTGGAGCTACTTATGAAAAGTGCTTCCCGTTATTACTATTCAGGATGACACATCTGTGGGTTCATCAAGTCTTACAGAATTGTCTTTTTATTCAACTGTTGAATGCACGAAATAACAGACCATTTCAACCCCGCTTTTGTCCTGGTCGCTCTACGTTTGTACCTCTTAACAGTTAAGAAGCCATCGTCAAACACTAAAAAAGTCTCCCCATGCTCTGAGGAGGACACACCTCGTGTGTTGGAACAGAGTGAGTCAATTACAGCCAAATTCACAGGAGTGGAGGTGCCTGATTTTAACCTTGACACCTTCTGAGGTAGCAAATCACAATTCAGTGAGTTATCCTCTCCTCACTATCCAGGGCTGCACCAATATAATTAACACATCCCTGAAATATGTCACCTTCTTGTCCACTGGTTCGACTTCATTGTCCCTTTGTAGGGTGCAGCTGGCCACCACTTCTGATGACTGTAAGACATTGGAGCAGAATTAGGCCATTTGGCCCATCGGGTCTGCTCTACCATTTGCTCGTGGCTGATGTATTTCTCAACCCCATTCTCCTGCCTTCTCCCCATAATCCTTGTTCTCCTTACCAATCAAGAGCCCATCTACCTCTATCTTAAAACACTCAATGACTTGGCCTCCACAGCCTGCTGCAGCACCGAACTGCACAGAGTCACCACCCTTTGACTGAAGACATTCCTCCTGATCTCAGTTTGAAAGTGTTGTCCCTTCTGGCTGAGGCTGTGCCCTCTGGTCTTAGTTTCTCTTACTCGTGGAAACATTTCTTCCACATCCTCTCTGTTGAGGCCTATCAGTATTCTGCAAGTTTCAGTCAGTCCCCCACAACACCTCCGCCACCACCACCAACCCCGTCCCCCCATCCCCCTCCCCCAATCGTTCTAAATTTCATCAAATACAGACCCAGAATTCTCAACCGCTCCTCATATGACAGGCCCTTCATCCCCAGGATCATTGGTAAACTTGTGATGCTGTGGCTTGTTACTAGCAATGAGTCAGGGAGTTTACTTTGAGCAGGGGCTGGATCAGAACTAGGGGTGTTTTGTTGACACTTGTGGCAGAGAAGAGGGTCAAGCCACAGACAACATCCTGTCAACTAAACAATAGTCTGCCCATTGGTCACCAGCCTTGACTGGTTGGTCACCAGCCTTGACTGGTTTCACGTGGAGCATGAAGGATGAAAAAAGGGTGGCTGAACTACTAACTCAGTCAGTGCAGTAGACAGTATGCAGACCTTCACTTGAGTACAGTTCACTGATGCACAGGGAAGACATTTAAACACCAGACGCTATAGAGGGAAGGACCATTGGGCTAATTCCTCGTGTCAACATGATCAGTTGGTGCAATTCGGTTATTTTAGCCTGGAAAGCAGGCATCTGAGAGCTCAGCTCATGGAAGTGTGTTAAGATAAATGAACCCTGGAAATGGTGAATCCAGACATTGAGATAGATAATTACCCTTTATCTCATCAAATGCTGGCATAAGCAGAATGGGCTGAATAGCATACTCCTGTTCCTATTGTCCTCTAACTGGTTCAAAGTAGGAAATCATACATGTAGAACAGATACCATGAAATTCTTTATCACATGAAGAGTAATCAATGCATAGAATGATCTTCCAGGAGGTCTAAATTCTGGAATCTACCAAGAACCAATTGAATGGGGGATATCAGGCTGTTTCTGGATTCCTGAACAAAGAATGGCTGAATCATCTTCTACTTCCATAGCCTTGTCAGTTTGTGATCCAATATAACTGTTAGTGTATTTAACTGTTACTTAAGAACAGATGTGTCTTTACAAGCATTAATAATGTTACTAATAACCAGCTTTCTCTTTGCAAGACAATGTGAAGATTGCCCTGAGTAATTTGCTTATCTACATGTCTTGCTTCATGGGCAAGTCCAGCAAACATCAAAGTGTTAAAAGTTTTTGAGGAAGCCAGCCATTTCCTACTATTTATTTTTAACTTGACCTTTACAAGGATCTACCAATGTGTGGAAATAGTCTTCAGTAAAAAATCTCCAATTCACCTCCGGCAATGCCAACATGACAAGCTCAGAACAGCTTGCTCAAACTCTTTAGCCTACCCATTCACTTCAAGGGCTATCTTTAAGCAAGTTTGAATCTCAGATCCGTTGGTACAATGGTGGAAAATGGTTGAGGGTTGAGTGGTCAATTATAACATGTAGTAATTGCTTCTGTTTCTCTCTCTCACATTCTCATGCAGTGATGGGTCATTCACCTATGACCCTGTTCCTTGGCAGCAAAATACGAGTCAACCACCAGGGTCGTTGTCTGTAGTTACAACTGTGTGGGGAGTCACCAATACATCACAAAGCCAGGTAACGTGAGTTCTGTAATGTATCTTCACTGTGCATGTGCCACAATCTGAGGCAATCATTGAGGCGATCCTCAACGCAAATAAATTAAACTCTTCTAAAGTCATTTGTAACGATTGTTTGCAATGCAATCGCCTTAAGTTGTGGCAGCCCAGAAGTCTAAAGACATCCGAAAACAAACCACAAACTTCTAATTACAGAATGAGGCATACGCATCGAGAAAGCCGTGGGTTTGACCTGCTGGTCTGCTAAATTAGCTATTCTCAGCTAGGTTAGCTCTCAGAGCTCCAGCATTGGTTTGAGAGCTCCCAAAAATCATTTGAAATTCCTCTCTTGCCCCACCCAGTGTTGGAAGAACATTTTAGTGGGTACTAGGCAAGGACAAAATCAGGGCCGCTCTGAAGTTCAGTAGCCTGCCAATGCTCATTGTATCAGAGCACACGTGAAGACTGACCACTTGCACACAGTTCTGGAGGACGTCATTCAGAGTCAAACCCCAGCAGGACTACAGTAGGAAACTGAGTTTTATACTTAGAATAAAAGAATTTACACCTTAGCAGCTGCTCAATTATTGAAGGACAATTAAGATATGGAAGAGCAATATTTAGGATTCACTAGAATGATAGCTGAGATAAGAAGTTATGATTGTTAGGAAAGAGTCAAAAAGGTAGCTTTCTTCCAGTGGAACAGGGAAGACTAAGGTGGATAAAGACCAAAAGAACTGCGGATGCTGTAAGTCGGGAACAAAAACAAGTTGCTGGAAAAGCTCAGCAGGTACGGCAGCATTTGTGAAGAAAAAATCAGAGTTAACGTTTCGGGTCCGTTCTGAAGACTAAGGTGAAGGTAGCCAATAGGGATTTTCAAAACCGAGTTATTGCTGGAAGAATGAAGCTTGAAGAAACCTTTCCCTGAGCAAATATATTTGAAGGGGATACTTTATCAGTGGAGTGATAGACACTGACATCGTTTTATAGAGTACTGCATTTGGAAAGGAAAAATATGAAATGAAGTGGGACAGCACAAATATTTCCAGTAGAAAAACCAGCACAGGGACAACAGACTTGACTCTGTGCTGAAATTCTTTGATTCAATGAGACTCTGACTTTGGGACAGGAAATTGGGGTGGAGTCAGGGGTGAGAGTTGCTTCAGCACCCATCCTGCCCTTTTAACTCTATTGGACGAATTATTGGTCATGATCCAAGCTGGCACATTGCACTAAGTGAGCCTTGAGGAATAAAGGCTGCCCATTGGACGTGTGCTCACGTTTTGAAAGCTGCTTCACCTCTGGCGAGTTCTTTAGTTTGGGAGAATGATCGGAACAAGAGAAGCCAGAATTAAGCTGATCACAGTATACATCTCTACAGGAGTTAGGTTTTGGTATCTTGTTGAGAAGCTGAGGAATGACAGTGTGGAATATGCTCTTGTTCTTTCTTTCATGAGATGTGGGTGACACAGGCAGGGCCAGCATTTATTGATCATCACTGACTGAGCTCGAACTGTGGGGCTCGCCTCACATTTGAGACCCAACCACATTGCTGTGGGTCTGGAGTCACATGCAGGCTAGGCCAGGTCAGGACGGCAGATATCCTTCTCAAATGTTCATGAGTGAACCAGGTGGGACTTTACAACAATTCATGGCAGTTACCATGGTAACCGTCATTATGGCTACCTTTCAATTCCAGATTTATTAATTCTGATCCATGGTGGGATTTGAACCCATATCACCAGATCATTAGCCTGAGCCTCTAGTCAAGTGACATTGCTGTAAAACAGCCGTTCTCCCTCTGTGTTAACATCTTGCTCAGAATCTCACCGTTTCTCTATCTCATTTCCCAGTGCTTTTTAATACAGTTCCTTTCTCTTTCTGCAAGCAGGTGCTGGGAAATCCAATGGCAAATGCCAGTAACCCCATGACTCCAGGAGGCAACCCAATGGGCTCAGGGATGTCGGCGAACAACCCCGGGATTAACTCGCCTCAATTTGCCAGTCAGCAGCAGCAATTTTCGGCCAGCAAGGGTGGCTCCAACCAAGCCTACATGCAGCAGGGCATGTACGGCCGACCAAACTACCCTGGAAGTGGCAACTTTGGGAGCAGGTAAAAGTCCATATCACGTAGCTGCCTGAACACAAGGGGGACTGTGTGTTCCTCCAGAATCCTAGAAAAACACACACAATACTGAACTGGCAAAGTGCCAAAGCCAATGGTCATTATTCAAACTTGTCCATTGGAGACAAATAGAGATGGCTCATGCTAGCTCAGTTGATGACACTGGAATCATTTGTATCTATGCTTTTGGCCGTCCCAATTGGTATAATTTTCACACATCCCATTGCCACTCTTCAATTTTCCTTTTTTATTTTCTCTTAGTTTTATTTGGAAGCTTTAGTGAGAACAGCCATTTATGGCCTAATAATCTATTCATTTCTCTGTCTGACTGAATAACCTTCCACAACTATGAGGCCAACAAGAGACTTATTTTTTCAGACCACCCAGTGTAGACCAAATGCGCACCTTGTCCCAGGGATGTTTCTTATCGATCTTTTTTTCTTGCCTTTATATATTAAGGCAGCAAATTCTTCATTCACTATTTCCATATGTATAGAACTGACTTATAGAGTCATACAGCAGAGACACAGACCCTTCAGTCCAATCAGTCCATGCTGAACATAATCCCAAACTAAACTAGTCCTACCTGCCTGTTCCTGGCCCATATCCCTCCAAACCTTTCCAATTTGCATACTTACTAAGTGGCTTTTAAATGTTGTAAACTGTGCCCACATTCACCACTTCCTTTGATCTTCTACTTCCTGCCTGTCTCCCCAGGTAACATCACATCCTGTAGCTAAGGAGACCGTTCCTATGTCACTAGGAACTGGAAAGTACACAGTCCAGTCTAACTCTTCATGCCCTCCTTCCAAGGTCAAGCTGATCTTCACTTACCACCTCTTCATGCTTGTGGCGAGAAGGGAGACCTAACCTCAACCCTTTCCCTTTGTGTAGAGCCTGGCACATCCCCAACACATTTAATCACCATTTAAAGAGGCTCATTCATTTGAGGCTTGTGGCTTCTGCCAGAATCTTTGTTGCCTTTGAAACTACAGATAGAAGTTGCATTGTCAATGCGTCCGGTAGCTTCCATGTTGTTACTGTAAATGATGCCAACAGGGGCGCTGCTTGTTTTCATCTCTCTTTCAGTTACCCCGGTGGTCCCAATGCCCCTGGCTCCATGGGCATTCCTCCACACAGCAGGCCGCCAACAGATTTCACTCAACCAGCAGCGGCAGCGGCAGCAGCAGCGGTTGCAGCCGCCGCAGCTACGGCAACAGCAACTGCGACTGCGACCGTGGCCGCCCTGCAAGAGAAGCAGAACCAGGAGATGAACCAGTACGGCCCGGTAAGGCTCCGTCTCCATCGCTTAACAACCTCCTCGTGTCCACTGCTCATTCATCTGTTAGTCCACCCTGTAATGGTCTTGGCAGAGTTACTGGGTGTGACCGAGAAGGTGCCTTGGCGCTTTGAGAAGCTGGTTTTGGTCAGATTGGTGAAAGAAAGAGTCTGCATTTACATAGCACCATCCAAAACTACAGGACATTTCATTAGCACTTTACAGTCAATACTTTTGAGTCGTAGTCACTTCAGGGGAGACTCCTTTATCCAAAGAGTGGTTAGAATCTGGAACTAGCTGCCATCAATGTTTTCGTGTAGAGGTTAGATACGTGCATGAAGCAGAAAGCTAGGTCTTTCTAAATTCAGCCATGGGATATGTGCTATTACTGTGCATTCTAATTGCCCTGAGAAGGCCGCGGTAATTTGTGCCGTAAGTAAAAATGAATGGTTTCTAGGTCATTTCCTATTGCTTTGAGTCTAGAGCCTCACATAGGTTGGGCCAGATAAGGACAACAGTTTGCCTTCATTAAGGGCATTAGATGGGATTATTCCAACTAGCTTCTTATTTCCAATTTATTTAATTCCTTTTGGTTTTATTTCTGATTTATTGCAATTCCCATCTCCTGATCGTCAATCCAGGCTGCCATGTTACTGGTCCAGTAATGTAACCACTATGCCACATCTTGTTTGTTTTCTTTCATATTCATTCTCAGGATGAGGGTGTTGCTGGCCATGCCAGCATTTATTATCCATCCCTAACTGCCCAGAGGGCTGATGAGAGTCTCCCACTTTGCTGTTGGTCTAGATTGAGATGAAGGCCAGGCCAGGTAAGGATAGCAGATTTCCTCCCCTGAAAGACATTGGTGAACCAGATGGGTTTCTTTTCCCAACAACTGACAATGGATTCAAGGTCATCATTAGACTCTTAATTCCAGATATTTATTGAATTCAAATTCCACCATCTACCATGGTGGGATTTGAACCCGGGTCCCCAGAAAATTACTTGAGTCTCTAGATTAGCAGTCCAGTGATAATGCCACTGGCTATCGCCTCCCTAAGCACGGGGTTAGATGAGGGGGGATGGCAGAGAAGGCCTGGAGGGGACATAAACACCAGCATTGACCTGTCGGGCTGACTGTTTGCACATTTTGTAATAGTGTTGTCGTGTTGGAAACTCAGCAGCCAAATGGCACTGCACGACCAGATCAATTACGAGGTAGTCTTGAATTTTATCTGATCTTGAAGGGCCTTGTCTGAGAGAGACAGCATCTCTAGCACTGTAGCATTCCAGCTGTCAGCAGAGGATGTGTCCTCAAGGGTTCTGGAGTGAGGGTTTAGCACCACCATTCAGCCAAGTGGTGCTACCTACTGAGCCACTGCTGATGGGGGTGAGAGCGCGGCTTGATTCTGAACTCGGGAGGCACGGGAGGTAGCATGACACCACGCATCATGCATGGGTCACCCATTGCCCATTAAACAGCCCAGAACTGCAGGGATGAATCCGGCACTTCATTCACACAGTCAGAGAGTGGCACAGCAGGGGATGGACCGCAGCTCTTTCATAAAATGCTAATTAGGAATGCATGAGTGTCATTGAAAGAAAATATATCAACAAAAGTGCTCTGTTTCAAAGGCGATAAATGTCACATTTTTAATAAAAGTAAAGGAAAATGATCAAATTAATGGATAGTGGTGTGTCTGGCACTGCTCTCCAGTTCACCTAGTGCCCACTGCTTGTGGAAGGCCTCAAATGGGCAGATCCCATACGTTGCCTCATCAGGGGCAAATTGTGCGATGCCAGTGTTGGCACTCATACGCAGGATCGTAGCCATCGTGCCAATACACATTAGCTTCACCACACGTTAATTCTAAACTGAGTATTTTTTCCTCCACCACTTCCGCTTCCCCAGGCTCGCTTGTGTTTGTGTTCTGAAGCATCTTTCTCAAGGCTGTTTCTCCTTTTTGCAGATGGGCCCAGCCCAGGCTTACAACAATCAGTTCATGAATCAACAGGGAGCACGGGGCCCCTCATCTATGCAGGGCAACATGAACCCAGGAGGGATGGGAGGTGGCATGACCCCGTCCAGCATGAGCGGACCCCCCATGCCCATCAACCAGCCCAGACCTCCAGGGATGAATCCGGTGTTTGCGTCCCACAACCAGAGAGTGTCACAGCAGGGCTATCCAGGCCCACGGCCATCGCAGCCAATGCCTGTGCAGGGAGTGAAAAGACCCTATCCGGGCGAGGTGAGCAAAGCTAAGGTACAGGCCTGATGAGCAACAGGCATTTTGTTTCTGTGTTCAATTCCAGAAAGCCATGTAGTGAAGGATAGAACTGAAGTCTGATCATTCTAGTCCTTATAAGGTTTAATTTAGCAAGACTCATTATAACCACTCTTCTCCAAACTCAAGATCCACGTTTTTCAGTCTGTTTATGCCAATTTAAATAAAACCAAAACAAGCTACATTAAAATGTCACAGCCCTTTAGGGATCACTGTAACAAAAGTCAAAACTCTAATTTAAAAATTTCAATCTTGTGCAATAGTGGTGCTCACTGACTGCAGTGGCCTGAAGTGTACCATTGGACTATTTAATTTTAATCAACTTGTTTGAACATGTTATGGCACAGCTACATAGCCACCTCGCATCCCGAGATGGGACTTGAACCCAGACCTTCTGATCCAGGGGTAAGGACACTACAACCATACAAGACCCTTCTTTCAATAGGAGCACAAGTGGAACCCCTGATAGTGACAACCATCTGAATAGAGTTACAAACTTAGTAATAGGCAGCATTACCAGCTGTTGTGCCGCAGTGATACTGTCCCTGCCCTTGAGCTAGGAGGCCTGGGTTCAAGTTCCACCCTGCCCCAGTGATGTGTAATAACATGTCCGAACAGGTTGATTAGAAAATATTTGGAATTTGGGGACCAAGCTGCTCACTCTCTTTTCCTACCTCAGCCCCACCTTTGATGGTCTGCATTACCCTTCAGGGAATTTGCATGTAATTTAATGAGTTGGAAAACACGGATGATTTCATAGTGGTGGTTAATAGGTGGAAATATTGGTGGTGGGAAAAGCCATTCCGGTTGTGTATGATAGCACTTCCAGATACAAAAGAAAAATAGACAATGCTAGAGCGCTTGCGGAGCAGTGGTAGTGTCCCTACCTCTGAGCCAGGAGGTCTGGGTTCCCACTTGCACCAGTGGTGTGTAAGAACATAGAATCCCTACAGTGCAAATAGAGGCCATTCGGCCCATCGAGTATGCGCCGACCTTCCGACCACCCAAACCCACAAACCAGTGCTCTGTATTTAGCATGGCCAATCCACCTAACCTGCACACCTTTCGACTGTGGGAAGAAACCAGAACACCCAGAGGAAACCCATGCAGACACGGGGAGAACATGCAAGCTCTACACAGACACTTGCCAGAGGTTAGAATCAAACTCGGAGCCCTGCTGTTTCACAGCGACAGGGACAATCACTATGCCACCCATAATCTCTGAAGAGATTGATTAAAAATATCTGGACAACATAATGAACCAGTGATACAGAATTTCAAAAACATTATTAATATATGAATTTGAATTAGTTGTGTTTGTATTTGTTAATGCTTAACATTTGTTATTTTGTCTAATTAAAATGTTCCATGAATTTGTTGATGACTAGATCTTATGAGTAATCCTGTTTATCCACTTTCACCTTCCACTTGAATTTTTTAGTTTCTTGCCTGCACTTACTCTGCTGTCTGCTGTATCTTGTAATTGCAATATTTGCCCCATTTCAGACATTGCCAACACCACTAAGTTTAGGGGTTTACGAGCCCCATGTTTTCAAGAAGGAGTTAGGTGTAGTACTTAGGACTAAAAGGATCAAACGATATGGGGAGAAAGCAGGAACAAGGTTGGATGATCAGCCATTACCATGTTGAATGGTGGACCAGGCTTTAAGGGCTTAATAGCCTACTCCTGCTCCTATTTACTGTGTTTCTATGATCCATTCTGATGTTGTGTAGGGGGCAACCAGCATCTTGACACCATTGCATTTGCCTCAGGATCCAGCTTTCAGCTTTGACTTCCTTTAGCTTGACCTAAACTAGCCAGATCTCCATGACTTTGTGTTTAGCACCTCTTGTGGAAGCAATACAAGTAGATTTGTGTTTTGCAGCCAAGTTATGGAGCACAGCAGTATGGACCAAGCAGCCAGTTTGCCAATCAGCCTGGCCAGTACCCAACAGGCAACCCTCAAAGGCCCATCACATCACCCAGTTACCCTGGCCAGAGGCTGCCTGGCCAACAGAGTACAGGCCAGTATCCTCCACCTCCAGTGAACATGGCTCAGTACTACAAGGCAAGTGCACATCTTACTGATTTTCTATTGGGTGTATCTTGACCTGAATTGCCTATTCCTCAGATGAGCTGAATTGACTGTTGACTGCAATTCTTTTGTTTTTTCACATCCTGTCCCCCTCCCCTCACTGCAACAGGCAGAGCAGTTTAATGGACAAAACAACAGTTTTGCTGGAAGTGGCTATACCTACAGTCAAAGTAGTCTGAATGGGGTAAGTCCTCGAGGGGGAGAATATTTCTCTGTTGCTTGTTACATGGAACTTCTGAAATTCAGCAACCTGCCTAACACATTAGTATTTGTATTTAGTTTCTCCCCTTTCACAACAGGACAATGTTTTCGCTGCTTCTTTCCTGTAGAGTTTTGGTACAAAGCAGTCTTGAGTGGTTGGGGAGCAAGGATACCACTGTAAATGGAGCCACTTCAGGGGGAACATGATATTTTGGTTTTTTATCTTGTGGTTGAAGGTTAGCGTGCCTGTCTGTATTTTGGTAACACCTGATGAGGCAAACTCCCCAGGCCTTTACCTCTGTTGTTATTAGAAATGGGGAAGGGGCAAAATCAGGCAGAAATCCCCTCTCCCCACCCCAAGTGATTCTTTCTGCAAGTGTCACTGGTGCGGGTTGTTGGTGAAAGCAGGATTGGAATGTCCTCTCTCAGTCACAAAAAAACTTATGCTGGCTCATTAGATGCTCTGATTTTAACCACATGCAATGGAAACCAGTCTGGAGTTGAAGGGAGTTTATTTAAATGGAGAACAATTGACCCCAGTGTTTCCCCGCTGCCTTTTTGGAGTGTCCGTAAAGAGTGCATATTCATATCAGTCTGCTAAATCTAGTCGAAGGACTGAATAGCAGAGCAGGGTAGGTTGCCCAAGAGGCCAGAACAGTCAGAAAGGGGCTTGTAAGCCAGAAGATGACTGGACCAGTTTTTTAATTTGTTTACATTTGGGCAGAGGTGCTCCCCTGTGCCCCATGAGGAAGCCATGAGCCGTTTGTTCTTTTTTAAACCTTTGACCTCCTGCTTGTCTTACTTGTCGGGGAGCACACCCACAGATGTTAGGCTTCCTATGATCTTCCCCTTCCAACCGGGGCTAGGATTCTGTGAAGATTGTGGACCTAACCAGACCTCCATGTCCTGAGTGCACAGTCCACTTTGAACTCGGGTGCGCACCACGTTCCCCTTCACCCCCATCATGTGAGAGACTGCAAGTCTCTGACTTCTATAAGACGTGTGAAGAAATGTCCGTGGGATAAGAGACAATGGCGGCTGGAAGCTGGGAAGTATTCCAGGAAAAACAAACCCTTTCAGTCAAAGAAAAAAATGAGGGGCAACTGTAGCAGGGAGTGGATTGGGGCTGAGGGGTGAGGGGGTTGCTAGAGAGGAGTGTAATTTACTTTAAAGGCTCCTTTCCCACCCCCTCTACTCCCATCACCCTTTCAGTAGAAGCTGGGAGATTATTTTTCCTTCAATGTAACACTACTTGCCTCAAAAACATTTGTTACAGCAACAGGTTTGAAAAGCTATCTAAAGCTTAAAGATGGCTGAAAATGCTAAATCACATTTTACTTTTGCACTTTCGGGTACTTGCTGTTTTTCAAGAACCTAAGTCAAAAATTTTACAAACTGATTACCCACATCTTTCTTGATTTTCATACTGAATTCGGCCGGATTGACTTGGGATATTCCCGATTGGAATTTTGATGAAGAGCTGCGAAATGCTGGCCACTGAGAATTGCAGTAAACAGCAAGCTGTGTCAGTCCAGCCTCTCCCCATTCTTTGTAGGTCCCATCACATATCACCACGACTCCCATTTAAAAGCATGTTTAATGCATATAAATGATAATCAGTCGTGATGGGTCAAACTCACTATTTCTTTTCTCATTACAATTTTACTTTCATCTGGTAGGTTGCATGTTTATATGAGAGTGAACTAACAGTTTTCTATGGATGCTAACTGACAATATTTTGAGCTCTGCATGTTTATGTAAGCATCCCACTGTATCACTTGGGAGCATATTTGTCCCATGGTTTGTTAAAACCTGCAGGTAGGTACAAAGTGCCTCTGTCCTGGTTATTTTTTTTGTAATATTTCCTGTTGATCACTGTTGGTAGTGTTTTGATTTAACGTTTTGCATGCCATTGTTGCATCTGTCCTCTGGCACGTTTCATTCATTAACTGGAGTTCCACTGTGGGGACCAGCCTTGTAAATGAATCCATCACTTAACTGGGTGTCACTGTTCTCTGGTGACTTAGATGGTGGTTTGAGCAATTGTGAATCAAAAATGAACTGTAAACCAATGGAGAGGGGAAGGATAGAATTGAAAGAGGAGACAGATAACGCTGTATCTGTTCCATAATTGTTGGTCTTTCATACTTAATTGCTTTGTATGCGTTGGACTTTTACTCCTAGATATGTGTCATTCTTACTAAAAATTGTCTTAGTTTGTGCTTAGTTCACAGTATTTTTGATATTTATTTGGGTCTAGTTGTATTTCTGGTACTTTTTGCACCACAGTTAAAATTCTCTGAATTTAATCCTTCTATCTTGGTGGGCCCCATAGTTCAGATGCCAGATTCATAGTCATCCCTTTTTCAATTGAGGCACAGTTTTCTCTTTGCACCCAATTCCAGCATTTCTAGTCTCCGAGCTCCCACATCATTAGTGCCAAATCCTTGGGAGGTAAACTGCCATTCCAGGAGCACGTTTCCAAAACAACCTTCCAACTTAATATATGGGAATGCACCATTGACTGTGTAAGCTGTTAGTGCCGTACTTTAGGTCTTTTGATGCTACATAGTTATTGGTGCTTTCTCAGCGTTGCAACATAGGTTTCGACAGGTTATGTCACATGAGAAAAGCAATGCTTTTGCTTTAACTATGGAATAACAATGTTGAGCTAGCAAATTTTTACAGTACAGTAAACCTGCCAATTCTGTTTTTTATTACTAATGAACACAATAATTGGAAACGTCCCATCCTCTTCTGATCGCTGACTGCCTGACTAGTGTCCTCTCTGTCTCTCCATCACAAATGCTGGGAGTGGAAAAGAAACCAAAGTAAGATTACATGATTCTTACTGATTCTACTCCACACATTAAAAACAAATGCTTAAAATTTTTTTTGTTAATTAATTAATTAAACAAATTGACGGCTGATATCTGTTCACTTACATAGCTGACATCTTACAAGATCACCGTATCTGACTACTAATATTTGTGGCAGAATGTAATGGGAGTTGTCTTCACAGATGAGTGACCTTTTTCAAGATTTGGAAGTGCATGTGAAAGGCTCAAGTTCATAGAGGAGGACACTGGGTCAAAGACAGCAGGAATGCCCATAAGGAGAGAGAGGTCACAACCGGAGGTTTGGGTGGAGGAAGGGAGGAAGCCACCAGATAAGCAAGTTTTGAAGCTTGTGCAAGGGCAGATTGACAGGAGCAAGTGGTCCTAGGCTTCTGAGATCATGGGGCAAAGGAATTGGAGTCAGAGAGACGATGTGACAAACCTTGAGTACGTTTCAGGAAGGAAGAGCATGTAGGAAACTACATACTTGGAGAGCATGCTTGGAGCATACAAAGAAAAATTCCGAGTTGTAGCAGGACAGAAATGTAAAGACTAGAACATGCTGCACAAAGGATAGTGGAGCAATGTGAGGCATTCAGTCAGATAAAATATGATTGCATTTTGCATTTTTTTAGAAGTATTTAATCTCCTTAACCTCTCCACGTTGTAAAAATGTTACTATTCAGCTGAAAAAAAGCCTGGAGATTGCACATTCCAGACAGAAATAGCTCAAACCCAGCTTTTGAGATCTGGCAGCTGTGTTTTGAATTGGGTCATGGCACTGTCTTGTTCCTGGACAGTGGGCGTTTTCTCAGTCTGAAATGTTTCTTCCCTACAGCTGACATGTTATATAAGGAATGTGATGAATGGGGATGGGGCCCTATATGTAACAGATTGTGTTATTAGACACCAGTTGGTTCTGAGTGGATGTAGGTCAGTCCTGCTTGGTTTTGTTCAAAGGGGAAGGGTTCTCTTTGATAAAGGGGTGGCTTTTTTCTGCCATATTCCTCCGACTGTCCTAGCTTTTCTCTGAGCACCGAATAAGTCAACCGTTGGCAAGATTTTAGGAACGGTGCAAAATTTCTACCATAGTTTCTGTGGATTAAAAAGTTACTACTGTCTGTTGCATGATCACTGTTATTGAATTAGAATCACCATGAATCCGATACTTGACCGTGCATATAACATGTGAAGCACTCCGTACAATCATTGCTTCTTCTTTCTTTTTAGCCTCCAAGGTCCGTGGCAAGTTACCCTCATTCTCCTGTGCCGGGGAATCCCACTCCACCCATGACTCCAGGAAGCAGTATTCCACCATACCTGTCTCCTAACCAGGATGTAAAGCCACCATTCCCACCTGATATCAAACCCAACCTCAGCTCCTTGCCGCCGCCACCTCCAAGTGAGTCGGATGCAAAAGGCAAATGTTTTTAAAACTGGGATCACGATGTGCAGTGAAGGATGCAGCTCTTCAAATCTCCGCTTCTTACCTTGTAGCCCAGTATAACACAACTCCAGCAGGGCTTTCTGCTTGTACACATAAAACGATTGTAAATACAACTTGTTTGTTCTTACTCCAAAGAGTGGGGCAGAACCACTGCAGAACCTGTAAACAGACAATTAACAGTAGTTTCGACAAGGAATCCATGATCTCCCAATGTCAGTTTGACAAAAGGAGTAATGGAATTGGCTTATTTCACTGGTTTGTTATCAGAATTTCCATTGAAGTTATGATGAGCAGGAGAATGCTCCTTGAGGTTACCGGTGTCAATGTCAAATTTCCTTCTTGGAATATGTATCTGAAAGCTATGTTGCCTATACATTTCAACTGTCAATTCCAAATCTTGTCTCCATCTTGTTAACTTAAATCCCTAAGTAGATATCAATCACCTTTTTGTACTTTGCACATATAATGGAGCAGAAGAAGGGAGGAGAATTTTCTTCAGTTGTGTCTCACTGAAAGTAGGGTTTCCATTGAGGCAATGATGGGTGATGAATAGGTGCAGAACCCAGAGGGAATGTGCCCCCATGGTCTACTTGAGATCTGTATCCACATTCTCACCTTGACTGTTTTTGCTGGCTTAGCTCCAGTTTAATGGTTATGGCCTGTGTCAATCTGTGAGCTGAGGAGCATCAAAGACCGCATCCGAAAGACTTAGAAAAGTACTTAATAAATCTAATGGGAAATCCAACAAATGCATTTCCAGTTGAGTTTCAGTACTGTAGTTATCACAGTTTTGACCACCTCATGATCTCACCCTTTGGTTAACAAAGATGCCTGTCATTTATTTATTTCACATTTCCTGAATGTCCTGAGCAGTTGCGTCTGCTGGATTTTGTTATGTGATATTATCAGGAGAGCAGAATTCCAGGTGTGCAGATCACTGTCAGTCTGTTCTGCTGAAGCCAAATCTTATAAAATGCAGTTCCCTTTAACTCCCCTGGCTATAAGTTGACTTTGCAATGTCACCACCTAAACGGTTAAACTGTTTGCATCATCATGTTCCTTCACCTGTCTTGTTGAGGATGCTTAAACCATTCCGAGTATTTATCACATTGTCTCTTTTATCCTGAATATTCATATGGCCATATATCAGTAAGCTTTTAAATTACACAAACAGCACACTTGCTATGTCTAAAATCTGCACCTTTTTTTTTATTAAGTGACTTACTTTTGTATCAGTCAATTTTCTAGCCCAAAATGTAGTGGCAATGAATCCAGAATTTTTTTGTCGTGCATCTAATTTTAGAACAGAGAGCTGAACAAGTTTCTTCACATGAAGAGTGAAGCATCTGGAATGGTTTTCAAACTGACTGGTTGTGACTTGTTTAGGAGTATTTCCATCACTGTTTATGTGGTGGGGGGATAGTTTTGGGGACAATCTGCAGTCAAAAATACTGACTGTAGACTTGTGTTCATAACTTTGATAATTACGTCTCTAAATACAACAGTGAAGGTTTTACACCCATAGCTACCCCCCTCCTCAAAAGGATTAAAATGTTGTTTAAAATCGGTGGCGTTATTTTCACAGTGTATTTTTCCATTGAACATTTAAACTTCACTGTGTTTTCCTGAGTTTATGTCAGGTGCATGATTTGCATGTAAAAGAGTCTATTTGCATGGACTGAGTCAAATGCAAATCAGATCAGATTGCTTTCATTGAGTGAAGTTTATCAGATGGGAATCATGTATTCACAATGTTTCATGTAGGATATAGGGCTCTTTTGGCACAGTGGTAGTGCCCCTACCTCTAAGCCAGCAGGCCCAGGGTTCAAGTCCCATCTGCTCTAGAACAGTTTGATCAGGAGATATCTATTCTTGGGATAAGGCTAGCGGACACTGGAGGGGTGGGGAGCTGGTTTGCGGAGGGATAAAAACAGGACTGTTTTGCCTCCTTACCCAGCTAGGGTAAAATTTATGACAGTCCTGCTGAATCCTCTGGCGCAGAGGATCTGTAGTCCACCCTCCCACCCAGGGCAAGATGCACAGCCACAAAGTCCGGGGATGTGAAAAAAGAGAGAATTGTTCCAATGAAGTGAAATCTGGTGATGATATGAAAACCACATTTTTACTGTGTCACAGATGCTAAAGGGAAAGTTGACACTTTCTCTCCCTCTTTGGTCTCAGCCAATGATGAGCTGCGGTTGACATTCCCAGTCCGAGATGGTGTGGTTTTGGAGCCCTTCCGATTGGAGCATAACCTGGCAGTCAGTAACCATGTCTTCCACCTGCGGCAGTCAGTGCACCAGACATTAATGTGGAGGTAAGAGCATGACTGGAAATCACTTGCATTTGGATGGTGCCTTTCACATCCTCGGGGTTGTCTGGGTTTGGAAGACAGTCACTATTGTTTTATAAGCACCTGCAGTTATTAACTTACACACTGCTAGACGTTATTGATGTGTATAAAATTATGCCGGGACTGGCTGCTGGGATGATGTTTCCCCAGCCAGGAATTGCAAGGTAAAAGGGTCTGTCTGAAACAATGTGCCAGGGTTTCAGGATTACACTATAGACTATTTCAGACTGAGTTGAGGAGAAATTTCTTCCCTCTCTGAAATGCTGTACTCCATAAGGCTGTGGAGGCCAAGTCGCTATATATATTTTAACAAAGAACTAATTTCTAGAGGCTAAAGGTGTCAAGGGGTATGGAGAGAGAGAGCAGGAGTAAGGCATTAAGACAGAGGATCAACTAAGATTATGTTAAATGGGGGAGCAGGCTCGATGGAGTGAATGGCCTGCTTCTCCTTTTTTCTATATTTGCCTCTAAAGTGTCAAAATGAGCACTGCAGTAAAGATCAGTGAATCTGTTCTAGGGATGGCAAGACACCAGGAAAAACTCCTGTGCTCCTTTTCCAGTAGGTGCCATGGATTATTTTACATCCACCTGAATAGGATGAGGGGGCTTGATTTTATTCACATCTCACTCAAAAAAAAAGCCACTCCATCAGGACTGCTGTGAATGGAGAGTCTAACTGCTGTGTTTGAGGCCTGGATTTGGGCCTGAACTTGCAATCTTCTATCCTGAAGGAAGAGAGCTAGCACTAAACCAAGCCGACTATTGGAGCAGTACCAGATACTCAGGCTGCGACTTATCATCTAAATTTTTTAAAAGAGTTGAGATATTTCATCATTGTAGGACAGAAGCTGCTGAAGTCATACTGAAATCCCAGTTTACAGGCACGTTTATGTGAAATTCTCTTGCTATTTTGTAGCAGCATTAATCTAAATAGTTTAAATGGTGCAAATGTCAACGTTGCTTTCAGTTTGACATCCGTCTTGTCAGTGCACTAAATTGGGTTGTATCGCAGTCCTTTTGCCCATTAAGTGGAAACAACGAGGCATGGGAGCATGCTGTTTATTACTGGTCTAGTAATCCAGAGACCTGGGCTATTGATCCAGAGACACAAGTTCTAATCCCAGCAAGGAACATGAGGAAGATGAGCGTTTATTGCCCACCCCTAGTTGCCCTTGAACTTAGTGGCTTGTAGGCCATTTCAGAAGATACTTGAGAGTCAACCAGCTGGGGGTGTGGAGTCACATGTAGGCCAGACCAAGTGAGGAATACAGGTTTCCTTCCCTAAAGGACAGTTATAAGCCAGATGGGTTTTTCTGACAATCGATAATGGTTTCATGGTCATCCAGTAGATTTTTAATTCCAGATTTTTTTTTAATGAGTTCAAATTCCGCCATGTACCATGGAGGAATTTGAACCTCGATCCTCAGAAGATGAGCTGAGTTTCTGGATTAATAGTCTAGCAATAATACCAGAAGGCCATCGCCTCACCATTATTAAATTAAATAAATCTGGAATGAAAAAGCAAGAATCGGTAATGGTGACCATGAGCCTTTAGATTGCTGTAAAGCCCCTTTTGTTTCACTTGTATCCTTTAAGGAAGGAAATCTGATGATTGTTCCTGGTCTGCATGTGACTCCAGAACCACTGTAATGTGGCTGACCCTTAAATGCCCTCTGGAAGATATGAAAAGCTATAGTAATTTCCAGCCTAATGGTGTGGCTCCTTCACACAACTGTAGGCAGTTCAAGAAGGTGACTCCTTGGGAACTGGCAGTCGATGATAGCTTTGCCCAACCTCCCTTGAATGAGTAAAGAAAAAAATCTCTGGTTGAGTGTGGATGTCGAGAGAAGCGGAAGAAATTCCTCGCGTTCTCTGTTACCATTTTCTGATTTGGAATGTGATGTGGTGTTATACTGATGTGAATCAGACACATTTATCAGCACTAACACAGGTTAGAACAGCGACTCAGAACGATTACCTGATGAGTAGCTGAGAGATGGAGACCTTGAATCTCTTGGGTTCACTTTGCTAGATTTTGACTCAATTGTGATGCTCAAACGTTGTCCAGTCTGCTGACCATACTAGTAAAGCTTGCACATGAATAATGGAACGTACTGGAGAGATCCCAGTCATCTGCAATATTTGGAGAGAGCTAATCATATCAGGAAAGATGGGGACAGAATGCTGGAAGTTTTGAAAAAATTGTAAGATCTTTTATAGGTATTCTCAGCTGTCAAGATAGAAGGATACTGGATCCCTTCAAAACCTCCAGCTTTATGGAAGATAACTCTAATGGAACCAGTGGCATTGAGTCCGCATGAAGGAATAGCGGCCACACTGGATTGCAAGCGGTTTTTTTGTGTGCTGAATGTGTGTTGCTTTGGTGTGTAATTTTGTGCTTGATTTCTGCAATTTATTTGAATCTATTACAGGTCTGACTTGGAGCTTCAGTTTAAATGTTATCACCATGAAGACCGGCAGATGAACACCAACTGGCCAGCATCTGTCCAGGTCAGTGTGAACGCCACACCCCTCACCATTGAGAGAGGTGACAACAAGACTTCTCACAAGCCTTTGCATCTGAAGCATGTCTGTCAGCCAGGAAGGAACACCATCCAGATCACAGTCACTGCTTGTTGCTGTGTAAGTATGATCAAATCTCTTACTTTGTCCTAATTTGTGTCTTAGTATAAAATATCTCCTTTTGTTTTTGGTATGTCTTTTTCACTAAGCTGCCAGGCCTGTAGGCCTCCTGATTATCTGCTCCAAGGTCTTTCCATGTACTTCGAAGGTGCACATGAGTTTGCCTTAGGAACAGTTGGACTCTGATCTCCTTTCTCCATTTCAGGCCCATGCTTGTGGGCTTGGGAAACAGCTGTAAGAAACATTGTTTTTGAGCTGGCACTGTGCTGTGCAGCATCCACTCAGACTTTGCCACCAAGTAGCATTCTTCCTTGGAAGGAAAAATAAGTTCAGTTTGGAAGTTTTGAGATTTACAGCAACCGTTTTAAAATGACAATGCTTTAAAATGATTGCATGTCAGAGTGAAGCATGTTTTTGTATAGTAGAGACAGTCCCACACTCGTGAATGATTATCTCAGTTCCAAATCTACTAATCATCATATCAGTGCTCATGGAGAATTTCCTGCTGCCTTATTTGCTCAGCAGCTTAATGCCATCTGGGCTACCAGTCTCCACCATCTGCCAAGTTCTCCACTTGATAAGTTATTCTTTCCCTGTATTGCATTGTGACATAGTGCTCCTTACACAGTCACAGCAGCCTGGAGTTTTCTACTGCAGAGATGTACTCAGAACTCTACTTTGAACTTTATGATTTTTGTTATGCAGGCGGCAGTTTACTCGCAAATTTTCTGCCAATCTTAAGAAACTGAGGAAAAGTAAAAATCAGCTGAAACAATTCCTAGGGTAAACACAGAAATAAGATCATGCATCTCTCCTTAAGTGTGGAAATCAAAATTTGAAGCCATCTAACTATCATCCATGCACCTTGTGCACAGGAGATATTTAAGATTCTGCAATTATGGAAGCTTTCCAAATGTTAATGTAATTTAATTCATACATATTCCTCAAAAATTACATTCAAAGCAGCAGAAAACTCAATCCAGATCTCACCAAGGATAAATAAGGAAAATTGCTTTAACAAAAATCTCTTTTCATAAGCCCATAAAATTTGGGATAAATTTTATGCCCACTTTAAACCGGCAGAAAAAGAAATCATTGTTTACACAGTCATCAAGATGATTCAAGACATGCCCTATCACAGTGATTGATGAATGAGTAGAAACAACAAAGAAATTTGGGTTAACTTAAGTGTGTGTGTAACAAACAGGCAGCTGAATTTTCTCCATCTTTTAACATTAGCAATTGGCTCTGTGCCCCAAAATGCAAACATACAAATTTGGAGCAGGAGCCAGCCCATCAAGTCCATTCCACTATTCACTAACAGCATAGCTGATCTCATTGTAACTTTAAATCCATGGTCCCACATACCCCTGGTAATTTTTTACCCTCTTGCTTAACAAAAATCTACCTACCTCTGCCTTAAAAATGTTCAAGGACTTTGCTTCCATAGCATTTTTCAGGAAGAGATTTCTAAAGATTCACAACCCTCTTTGGAAGAATTTCAACTCATCTGTTTTAAATGGGTAGTCCTTGATTTTGAACAGGGACCCCTAGTTCAATATTCTCCCATAAGAGAAAACATTCTCTGTGGTGAAGACCCCTCATGATCTTTTCAATCATATCACATCCTCCCTTTTAAACACCAGTAGAAATAAGCCTGGTCTGTCCAACCTCTCTTCGTAAGATAATAGTCTCAGAGGCTAGGAGTTCTGAAACAAATAACTTATCGCCTGACTCCCCAAGGCACATGTCAGAACTCTGATAGAATACTTCCTGCTTGCCTGGATGAGGGTAACTGCCAAAAACACTCAAAAGAACGTGACACCAACCAGGACAAAGCAGCCCACTTGATAGGAGCTGTATCTACAAGCTTTCACTCCCTCCACCATCGAAGTTCAGTAGCATCAATGTGTACCACCTACTAGATGCACTGCAGAAATTCACCAAGGCTCCTTAACAACTTCCAAACCTATGACCACTTCAATCTTGAAGGACAATGGTGGCATAAAACTGGGATACCACCATCTGCAAGTTCCTGTCTGAACTGTGCACTATCCTGACTTTTTAAATAAATCACTATTCATTTAGTGTCACTGGGTCAAAATCGTGGAAACCCTCCCTAGTGGCATCATGAATCCATTTTCACCGGATGGACTGTAGCAATTCCAGAGGTGGCTCATCACTACCACCTCAAGGGCAACAAGAGATGGGCAATAAATGCTTGCCCAGCAAACATCACTCACATCTCAAAAATGAGTATTAAAAAAAATTCCATGCCAGGTATTAGTCTGATAATTCTTCTCTGAACTGCTTTCAACTCATTTTCATCCGTTTTTAAATAAGGAGACCGATACTGTACACAGTGCATCTAGATGTGGCCTCAACCAGAGGCCTGTTTAACTGAAGTACAACCTCATTACTTTTGTATTCAGTTTCCCTCACAATAAATGATAACATACAAGTACCTGCATACTAACGTTTTATAATGTATAGACAAACGACACCTAGATCCCTTTGCATCTCCGAGCTCTGCAATCTCTCACCATTTAGATACTATGCTTTTCCTATTCCTCCTGCCAGAATGAACAATTTCATAGTTTCCCACATTATACTCCATTTGGCGTATCAGTGCCCATTCACTCACCCTACTTTTTATAGCTTCTTTATGACCTTTTCACAAGTTACTTTCGTACCTATTTTGATGCCTCAGCATATTTGGCAACAAAACTTTAGTCCCTTCATTTATCTAAATTATAAACAGTTGAGGTCCCTGTAGCACATCACTCTCTACATCAGGACAATCTGAAAAACACCCATTTATGCCGACTGCCCGCTTCCTGTTAGTTATCCAATCTTCACATATCTTTGGCTGCACTTTCATGGAAAATTCTAATTTCTCATTTAAAATACAAGTGGTAAAAGTAGGTGTCTAAGTGTAGGTAACAGAGAGTTAAAAGAAAAACCCTGTTCATTATATGATGTAGAAATCGTAGGATATCGAGTCACAGAGCTGTACAGCACAGAAACAGACCCTTCGGTCCAACTCTTCCATGCCAAACAGATAACCTAAATTAATCTAGTCCTATTTGCCAGCATTTGGCCCATATTCTTCTCAAACCCTTCCTATTCATGTACCATTAGATGCCTTTTAAATATTGTAATTGTACCAGCCTCCACCACTTCCTCTGGCAGCTCATTGCATACATCCGCCACCCTCTGTACGAAAAAGTTGCCCCTTAGGTATCTTTTAAATCTTTCCCCTCTCACCTTAAAACTATGCTATCTAGTTTTGGACTCCCTGACCCTGGGGAAAAGACCTTGGCTAGTCACCCTATGCATGCCCCTCATGATTTTATAAACCTCTATATGTCACCTTTCAGCCTCCAATCCTCCAGGGAGAATAGCTCCAGCCTACTCAGCCTCTCCTTATACCTCAAACCCTGCGACACTGGCAACATCTTTGTAAATCATTTCTGTACCCTTTTGGGTTTATTGTTGAGAAATCAGAGACAGAAAATGAATTGGGTAAAAAAATTTGAGGGATCAGTAGAGAGACAATAAACATGTGTGTTTTACTTCTTATGAAATTTATCCTGCATGCACATTTCACTTGTGCTATCCACCATGTACCAGTTTTATTATTAGTCACTCATGGTTATTCCCTCATTGTATTTCTTGTGGCTCATTGGATCATATGATGTCTTATAATGTAAAGAGCATTACAGTGTATTATGCACAATATACTACATTGTTGCTAAGCTTTGTTTCATCTAACCTAAGCCTTTAGTCACTGATCTCTAGTCCACTTAAGTTAATACAGCCTGAAGTTGGTTACTGGTGATGTGGTAGCTTTACAGCAAGGATAGTACAGCACTTTTACTTATACATAAAAACTGAAAGAACTGGAGATGCTGTAAATCAGAGACAAAAATAGAAGTTGATGGAAAAGCTCAGCAGGTCAGGCAGCATGTGTGAAGAGAAATCAGAGTTGACGTTTCGGGTTCAGTGACCCTTCTCTAGAACTGAGCAAGAGTCACTCGATCCAAAACATTAACTCTGATTTCTCTCCACAGATGCTGCCAGACCTGCTGAGCTTTTCCAGAAATTTCTACTTTTGTCTCTTGTACTTTATGCACTTGGACACATCTGTGTGTGTCAGAAGACATGAAATGACTATCTATCCACATTCAAAACATCCGACACCTTGAGCTTGCAAGTGCAATGTATGCTCCTAAAACTTTTAAATAAAGAAATAATGTGGAGACTGCCTGTGATGATTAATTTTAAAACTGTTTTGCTTCTGTTCCTGCTGCTCATTGGTAATACTGAAAAATCTCAACCATGCCCAATGAGGCAGAAGTGTGCTGGCACGTGAGAAAGTAATGACAAAGAAAAATTCCTGCCAAAAGAAAATCTTCTTGGGGAGCAAATGGTGTTGTGATGGATTCATTTGTATCAGTAAATAGTTTACACACAGCGTGCAAAGTAAGGGATGCTGGCTACACATTTAATATCAGATTTTTATTTAAATTTGGACAAGGCAGTTCCTTTTTTGCAGATTTATGAATCATGTATCGCATTAACTGTCTTGAAAGGACCATATGTGATAGATTTCTACAGATGTACGGCTTCATTTGTTGCCTGGGGAATAATCTGACATTATTTATTGGAAAAAAGATCCTTGTGCTTCCTGAATGTCACTGATCCCATCTCTATCTCTCTCTCTCTCCTTACAGTCGCACTTGTTTGTACTTCAGTTAGTTCATAGACCATCAGTCCGCTCCGTGCTTCAAGGCTTGTTGAAGAAAAGGCTTCTTCCTGCTGAACATTGCATCACAAAAAGTAGGTGGACAGGGATGGTATTTTACAAAATGGATATAGAGTTTTTTTGTTTATTTTTTCAGGAGTTCCTGCCTCACGTGTTGCAAAGTGGTAAAAGCCTTTTCATCACATTGACATCAGAATGAACAGAGATTATTAGACTTGCCCAATACAGTGGCTTGTCTTCAGAATAACCATGCTCTTTTGATGCTTTTTCAAATAATTCCAAGTAACCAGAGAGAAAATTGGTTCAGGGAAACCCAGTGGAAGGAGTTTTCTGAAGAAGGGTCTAGGCCCGAAACGTCAGCCTTCCTGCTCCTCTGATGCTGCTTGGCCTGCTGTGTTCATCCAGCTCTACACCTTGTTATCTTCAACCCAGTGGAAGCCTTGCTACTTCCCAAAATGAAAACCTACAAATGTACAGTTTCTTTATCCACTGTTTTAGGTGACACAAGGGCAGAAGGGGAAGGAGATCAGAAACTTGGTTAAGTGGATTCATCAGAGGGATAGGGGCTTCTTCTTAGAGGGAAGGTGGCTAAGAAAGGAACTGACAGAAGCTTTCAAAATCGCGAGGGCGCTGGATAGAGTAGATAGGGAAATTCCGTTTCTGCTTACGAAAGGAATCAAGAACAAGAGAGCACAGATTGAAAGCAATTTGCAAAAGAAGCAAATGCACTGCGAGAGAAAAGCTTTCTCACACATTGAGTGGTTCAGTCTGGAATGCACTGTCTGGAAGTGTGGTGAAGGCAGGTTCAAATGATGGCATTCAGAATGGAATAGGGTGGTTACTTAAAGAGAAACAATATGCAAGGATATGGGAAAAGGTAGGAGAAAGGCACTAAACCATGATGCTGTTTGGACAGTCAGTCAGACACAATGGTCCAAACGTCCTGTAACAATTCTGTGTTAAACTATTGGTATTTTTGTTTGATAAGGGAAAGGAGTGTCTGAGGTGAAGCAAACACAGACACAGTCTTTTTGAAGAACGTATATACTCCGTCAGCTGTGGATTGTTGGTGTCCTCAAGTAAATGTCACTGATCATTTCACAAAGGAGAAAGGAAAATTGAAGCCTATGTGTTAATTTTGCTCTTGGATAACCTCATCAACTTGTGTGCCATAAATCAGAGAGATCAATTATTCATTGTTGATCATAGACTCAATCACTTTGATTTCTCTTACGGACAATTTGAATGGCCCCTTGCAAGACTGACTGTTCCCCGTTGCTGTTCACAATCCATTGTTCAGTCTCACATCAGAGCTGACTAACCTGAGGTCTTTGAGAGAAGGTGACTATTATAGAGTCTGCCTTTGAAAGGAGAGCAATTTGAAAAGAAACAGGAAGGATACCTAATTTTGGGCTGGTGGTGATCTATTGTGGAAAATATATGCCATATGACTAGGCCAAAGCTAATAGTGGCTTACTTCACTTTGTGTTTATATGTTTGCTGCAGAGAGAATGCAGAGTGAGCTATTAGCTAGACAACAACTTAACAATTGCTTTTAGGTAGAATTTATTTCAACTCCCATCATGAAGGTAATGGTTGACAAGTTTGTCTCTGGCTTGATAGCATCAGTCTTCCTTCTCTAGGAACCAATGTGCCCATTATACAAGTGTTGGTCTTGACAATGACATGGGTGGCAGATCTGAGCTGTCACCTAGATTTTACACACACATACACGACCAACTAGCATTACTGTCAGGATAGAAGATTGTCGCCAAATTGTTTCTCCTGCTTGACCCAAAAGTCCACATCAGAATTGGAATCATATGGTCCTGTGTGGCTCTGGGACAGAAACTGAGTTTTTTTAAGACTCTTTGGTCATTCCCTTAGCCTCTTGCCAGGTGAGAGACCAGAGAAATGTCACACAAACCCCAATTTTGGCAGCACTTGTCGCTTGGAAGAGATCTTCAGATTTCTCTCCAACATTATGCTTTTAAATAACCACACTCAAATTGAAAGATCATGAGTGAGATGTCAGGTACTTGAATAAGGTGGTTACTGTAATAATGCAGAATTCTGACAGTCAATTCATTCGTTGTCATGAATATAAGGTGCATTTGGTTTGAGAGAATGTTGCATCTGCATCTGTGACAATGGCACCGCTGATAAATTCCATCTTGTTAATCAGTAAAAAGGAATTTTAGCAGTGTGGCAGCTTCCTCGGGCAGTGCTACATTAAATGGAGAAGATGGAGTGGAACAGACAGCGATCAAGGTATCTCTGAAGTGTCCCATCACGTTCAGGCGGATCCAGCTACCAGCGAGAGGCCATGACTGTAAACATGTACAGGTTAGTATTCCCACCATCTTGTCCTTCCCTGTGTATTGAAAGTCATTTAATGCTGAAGTGGTTGTTAAGTGAGAGCTTCATTGTGTCTGAAAGGGTAGTTTACCAACTTAAACCTAAAACTGGAGTGCTGACTAACTGAGAGGAACCCATAGTGTGGAAAATTTGCTAGCTGTCTAATCTTGACTAATGTTCCAGACGCTCTATGCAATATGCATTGATAGGATTTTCTATGTCATGTTCCCTTGTTCCTACAGTGTTTTGATTTGGAATCGTACTTGCAACTGAACTGTGAGAGGGGAACATGGAGATGCCCTGTTTGCAAGTAAGTAAAGGATTTGAGCTAAAATAAAAGCAATACTCCAGATGCTGGAAATCTGAAGTTAAAACAGCAAATATCTGGCAGTATCTGTGGAGCAAGAGATTCCGCCATTGTAAGAGAATTGTGCATCTTCACACATGAAGTGCCATGATGTTTGTTTGCTGCTTCAGGATGCTTTTTTTTAAATATTGCTTCCTTTTAGATACAATAACTTGTACTTGCATAGCTTGATTGGATAAAACATAACGCTAAAAACTTCCCTCAAAAGCTATGTGTTGGTTTGTGAGACAGACTGCAGATTGGGTCTGCCTTTCCAAGATTTCATGGTGCAATTCTAAGATGAGCAGGAAATTTTCCCAGACATCCTAGCCACCATTCCTTCCTTCAACACTACTGAAATAAAGTTAACTAGTTATTTATGTTGCTGGAGTTTGTCCTGTTTGCTGATACAACAGTGCATTAACTTTCTGAGGGATGAAATGAAATGCTTTATTAGTGCAAGTGTCATTTTACTTGAAAATAGAAGGGGCATCAGTATGCACAGAATCCTTGCTATTTCTCTGTGGGTCTATCCAAATTGCTGTTTGCACAGAAAAGTTACCCGTGGGAATTCTCAGTTAAATGTAGAGACTTCTTTATTCCCACAGAAGGTTGATTTGAGTAAAACACAGCGGAGACCATTTCTGCTTGTGTTTGTTTTTCTTTCCTGCTCGATTCAGTAAACAGTGGCAGGTAAAACATCTCACAACAAAAGAGTCCTTGTTGCGGAGTCATTGTGCTATGGAAGGCATCTGTTTGGCCCATCAGGTCCATGCTGCCTCTCTGTAGAGTCCCTTTCCCCTGGTTTAACCCTTTGGCACCACAATTATGGTCAAACCTCTTTCGTTTTCAAGAATTCTTTCCCCCTTGTTGACATTATCCAGGGCATATTTATTCTGCAGGTTTTTGGGTGTTTGCCAGACTATATGTTCCATCTAAAGTCTTCTGCATTCAGCTGCGAAGCTCTGTGTACTGCACTGGTTGATCTTGGGTTTGTATTCACTTCAGAAAAAGTTGGAAAATGAAAAATCTCCCAACATCATCAGAGAATTGGCTTTAGATTTTTCTCCTGTCATCAAAGATAGAACTGTGCAGCAAAAAAGGAGGCCATTCAGCCCTTTATGTGCCAGTTTTTTGAAGGCCATTCAATTAGTCACATTCCTCTGCTGTTTTGTCACAGACTTCATGTCTACTTTTCTGTTGTTTATCCAATTTGCCTTTGAAATTATTACTAAATCTGTTTCCATCACCTCTTCAGGAAGAATGTTCCAGATCACAAGTGGGTCATGAAAAACCAATCCTCATTCCAATTGCCCCATATCAGCCTCTTTTAGCCCTCTGAATGGAATCAACTTCTCTCTACACACCCTACCAAAACTCCTAGTTTTAATTTCAAAGAAACTGGGTGATTGTTACACTTCATCCTGAAATGATAACTGTGTCCACTTTTGTAAGGAAGTTACTGACAATATTCTTTTCTTTCAATGGCAGTAAAACAGCTCTCCTGGAAGGACTTGAAGTTGACCAGTACATGTGGAGCATCCTATCCAATATTCAAAAGTAGGTTTTACTTAAGGTGGTTTTCTTTTGTCTGGTCATTGTGAAAAGCAAATCGAGTCCAGCTGCCTAGTCTTTTTAGGAGTTCCACAATTATAAATGAGGGTGCTTTTGTCTTCCATATGTGGAGGCGATGGCAGCCATGTCTACCACAACTACACCTGACACGGTAGATGGCTGTCCACTAATAGTGAAGAAGGTTTGACCTTTTGAGGTTGTATTGTGTGTTCCTCTCGTGGAACTCATTTGTTGTGTCAGAGTTCTTCCAAGCATTACAGTATCAGGCCTCAAGGCTGAGGGGAGATCATTGATCGATCTATTATTACCTGGTATTGCTCATGATTGACCTATTGCACGTGCGAGTTCGCTGGAAACTGTGTTTGTTCAGGTATATACCAGCTAAACCAGCACATTAAAGGAAAACTGAACTCTGAACCTGAATTCTGCATCCAATTCTGAGCAGCTCTGGTATTTGTTTGCCAAACTACATAGTGACACCCTCACAGTCTGGCACAGCACAATGTTTCCTTCTAAATAATGTAATCCATTGAAGAGACCCTAAACAGACGCTCTTAGAATGTTTCATCTCATAACCAAATTTAACTTGATCTCCTTTTACTCTGTTGCCTATTGCCAGTTTTTGAAAGCATGTTTTGAGTAAGCAGAACTTGAACTTTTAGTTGCAGTGCAAAGTCATGTACTTTGTTTTGGCAAATGCAAGTTCCCAATAGGAAGAAACCTTTCAAAATCGAAATGAAGAAAACTCTTGTTAGAACTCCAGTGTTCAGTGGTGACAATTTGAGCTTTGAGTCATGAGTCAAGCTGTTTCAGTCCATGATCCAGGATGGCATTTTACTGCAGTACTGAGGGAATGCTGCATGGTCAGAGGTACCAACTTGTTGATGAGACATTTAATGAAGATCCAGTTACCCTTCCAAGAGGACACAGAAAAGATCCCATAACACCTTCCAGAAAGTCAAAGGGCCTTCTCCTAGTGTGCTGGCTCATCTTTATCTCTCTAACAACATGCATGCAAGGAGGATCATCTGGTATCAGAGCTTATTGCTATTTGTGGGATCTTGCCGTTCACAAATTGACAGCTGTGTCTTCAAAATTTACTTTGTTGATCATGTGCTATCTTGCAATCATGAAACATGCTATTTAAATACCCTTACCCTCAAATACAAATCACATTTGCCATGCCGTTTGTTTGAGAAGTTACATCCAGACATTCTGATCTCATCTGATACTGGACGCATGTAATCGAGAGTACTATTTGGGGTGTTGAGCTACCAAATTTTAGCTTTCTTTAAACTTGATTATCCAGTATTCCCTCTGCAGATGTGGTCTAAACTGTCTATTCATCTAAGGCCAATTAGAGACCAGTGCTATCATAAATTTCCTGCTTCCAGGTCAGAAGAACCTAGCATGATCTTCCTGTGGTCAAAAGGTTAAAGGTCAGCTGGTATAAGACACAAGACATTTATCATTTGTTAAGTGATAGGTATCTGCAGGAAATAAGAAATTAATTTAAATATTTTGCAGTAGCTGCTTGTTAAATCTTCTCTGTATCACTCCAGCTCAGAGTTTGAAGAGGTCACCATTGATCCAACATGCAGTTGGAGACCAGTTCCATTGAAGTCTGACATTCACATCAAAGATGACCCAGATGGCCCACTGTCCAAGAGGTTTAAAACCATGAGTCCCAGTCAAATGATTATGCCAAATGTCATGGAGATGATTGCAGCTCTGGGACCCGGTCCATCACCATACCCTTCCTTACCTCCACCACCGGGAGGCAGCAGTGGCAATGAATATGGCAACCCAGGTAGGTTCCACTATGAATTTAGAATTTAATTACTCATCCATACATATCATCAGCATTGCATCTTTCCAGCTTGCTGGGGTACTGAATAAAGCTGTTGTCAAGAGATTTTATTTTAAGTTCTTCTCAACTGTGTATTCTGTACAGAATTATTATTTTTTCATTCTGCAGGTTAATATGTGTCTTTTGTATGTGTCAAAAGCATTAGTGTGAGTGTATTTTGCTTGTTGGAATCTTTCATTCCAAGTCCCAGTGTACCAGACGCAGAGATAGACATTGCAATCTGGCCCAAAGGAGAGCAACTTTCATCTTCCAGCTGGATTCCAGAACGTTATAAACATTAAAATAGATAGTGGATCTTAATTCAAGACTGGATCTCAAACATAGAGATTCACTTTAGGTAGATTTCGAGATACTATGAAAAGTAGGTCATTAGTTAGATGATCACTGAAGCACCATAGCATACAAGGCTATGGACCAAAGGGTCTCCTTCCATGCTGTAAAACTCTGACTCTAAGTAGCATAAAGGTGCAATGTCATTCTGAGGAGCAAATGCACCCAATTGATAGGTCTGACATCTGTAAGTAGGTGCTGACCTATGTGTATGTAATGCCTAGACAATTGTAATTGAGGCTGAGACCCCCTTTAAAACAGAGCTGAATCTGTTGTAATTGGGCTTGGCTACTGGGAGGTTTTCACTATAGATTGAAAGTGTCAGAAGTATTTGTCGCAATGTGATTCCTTTGCTCTGGAGAACAGCAAGAATTAAACAGAAGTGTGAGGATGGCTGAATATTTTGCAGTTTTGCCTGATTTGAGTGGTGACAATGGGGAATCAGTGATTTTTTTTTTATTTCTATCAATGTGTCAGGCAATGAATTGGGCGGATGGAGTGTTTCCCGGTAGAACATGTTGTTTACGACTTATGAATGGAAGACACTTGATGAGTCTTGTTGCCCATATCCACCTTATGCATTTTAGAATCGTGGTGAATGTACAATATGTTAAAGGCATATGATCTTTACATGACCACCAACAGGCTGAATGATCTGTGGATATATAAGAGCCACGCTCACAGTTGTGCTCAGTTAGCCTCCATGTCTGATTGGCATCATATAGCAGGAATCCTAGTCATTTTTTTATTTCATTGGTTTAAGAGCACTAGGAACAACTTGTAGAGTCCTGACTGCTGCCTCAGTTCACAAAGGTGATGGAATATCTCCACTTGCCTGGATGGGTGCAGCTCCTACAGCGCTTAAAAAGCTCAACGCCCTCCAAGACAATCCATGCCTTTGACATTCACGCCCTCCACCATCAACACACAATAACAGCAATGGGTATCATGTATGAAATACACTGCAGCAAATAGCCAAGCCAACTTCAGTAGCATCTTCCAAATCTGCAACCTCCACCATAAACAAGGACAAAGGCAGCAGATGCGTAGGGGCGTCACAACCTGCAAGTACCCCTCCAAGCCAATCACGGTCCTGACTTGGGACTATATTGCCATTCCTTCCTTGTGGCTGGTTCAAAATGCTTGAACTCCCTTTATATCAATAGCTATTTAACTTTCAGATCGCATGAACTGCAGCAGTTCGAGAAGGCAACTCACCATCACCTTTGCAAGGCTAATTAAGAATGGGCAACAAATCCTAGCCCATCCAGCAATGCCTGCCTACTGAGAGAGGTGTTTTCTTAAAAATGTTGTGCTGTACTGGCTGTCAGCTGTAAATTGAACCAAAGGCATCCTGGTGTGTAGTGGATGCAGTGTAAAGAGATCCATTTATGCACCAGACCACATGTGGGCTTATGTAACCGCATAAGTAAGGTAGCTGAAGGATGTCATTGCCTCATAAATATGTGCAAGAGAAAAGAAACCCAAAATAACAGAGCAAAACCTAAGCATTTCACTGTCAAATATGAGATGGCCACATTATCTTGTGGTATTGACAAGACCGTAGAGCACCCAGAAACTGATATATTAACAGTCCTTAATGCGAAGTATCAAAGCGCTCTCCGCTCAGAGCTGTGGACTGAGAGGAAGTGAAATTTGATTCCAGCATGTCACACTTTGATTTTACTGTTGGGAGGTGACAAAAAATTAGTTGGTGGCTTTTTTAAAAGAAAAAAGAATGTTCTGAGTTTTTCCAAAATGATTGAGATTTGCATCATTTAGCCCATGAGTTTCTGTCCAACTCTTGAAATGTTCATTTCTGCAACTGACAACACAAGGGAGGAGAGGGCAAGCTAATATTCCATTTTGTCAGAGCTGAGGTTTTTGTTTAGGATGCACCTATTTCTCTGAGCCAGCTTCAATCCTGAACAGGATGCAGATTGTTTTGAGAAGGCAGACTTGTTAATAACACTGTCATAATCCTCCCAAAAGGTAACACTTACCCCAGCCATGGGAACTTCGATTTCCCACATGGCAACCCTGCTGGTACTTCTGTGAACGACTTCATGCATGGGCCCCAGTTGTCGCACCCTCCAGACATGCCCAACAGCCTTATGACTCCTGACAAGCCTCTCAGCCACTCCATGCCTGACCAGGTAAGTGATGCCATTTGTGTGCGTCTCTCCCCTTTTGTTTCAAACAATGACCTTTTGCATTTGCACTTGGGATGCATTCAGCCTATGCAGTGTCCATTGTGGGGGACCTGTGCTTGTGACAGTATTCCAAGCCAACCTGTGACAGATAGGGAGCACAGATGTGAATTATGTTAATGGGAGAAGGTGAGATACAGCAAAGATCAAAGCACTGCTGATGATCCCAGAGGGAAACATTGGAAAGTAACTTAGTAAATTTGCCACCCAAAGTCCTTTTAATTAACTCTCTGCAAATATTTCTGTCTGGTTGTGTTTCTGAGTGTGTAATGTGGCTTGGAATGTTTCTCTACAGTACTGACATTTTTCATCTGCCTTGTTTTTATTTCTCTCTCCATACAAATCTGGTCTGCTTTTGTCTGTGCTTATTTCACTGTTATTTCACACAAATGGAATACAAGGGCAACTAGCACTTTATGTCGTTAAAGTTGCTACAAACATCCCATTGTTTTGTCACTCACAGGGAGCGCCAGACGGTTACAAGTCACCTTACCAGGTTGACGATCTTTTACACAGAATGTGTAAAAATAAAACAACAGAAGGTTCGTAAAAAGTCTCCCCAATCTGGTGAAGCCCAACCTTTCCCACTTGAGCAATACCTTTGGTATTGTTGGATGGGCTTGTTCATGCCCCACCCATCCAAAATAAAATTGGGTTGGATCCTGCATATTCTCTTAACCAGACAACTGTATTGAGGAACGGTCTGTCCCTCGATAAAAAGACTCTGATGGTACTGTGTTGCTTATGGAGGTTTTTGCTGCAAACTTTCATTCCTCACCACCACGTCAAAGGCAGAGATGTATTTGCTTGTCTGTCCTCTGATGTTGGAAAGCTACAGCTGTCATAATGGAGCTTCCCTGAAAAAATAATCTGCTTCTACCTCCACACACTCATACACACAAACACACATGCTCATATACACGGGGAAAAAGGGTGTTTTTCAGAGAGGTTGGGGATTTGGGAGCAGGGAATGTCTTCAACTCTGCAGTATTGAGCCCAATGGGAAAAATGTTGTTCAAGTCAGGACAGGAGAGTGACAAGACTTTTTATTTCGTGACACACAAGGAGTGACTAACAAAAGACTATCTTTAAAGCAAGTACTTTTAATCAGCATTACAGCTAATCTGTGTTAGAGACCATATTTCTTTCTCTATTCCTACCCACAGTGACTAAATACAAGAACCTGCACAGCAAAGGTTCAGGAAAATCTCCATAACATTTTTACAATGTTATTTGCTAAACATTATTTTCAAAGGTAGATCACCATTAATATTTCTCACATGTCCCCTCTAAAATTGGTTTAGGAAGGTATCGCTTTTGGGGCAGTGGTTTTAGTTGCAAGTTCATTTCCAGCAAACGACAAGGATACTTTCTCTTTAAAATGACCCATTATGTGCTATTGTGAGGTAACATTGATGGTGACTGAGAGAGGCAAGCATCTAGAGCTTCAGTGGTAACATTGGGAGATGTTCACAATGAGTGAGTCTTTAGATGATGCTGTTCTCTCCAGTTGTGGGTAGGTTTTCTTAAATATTCAAGGTATGGTAGTGGTTAGATGTTGCAAGTTAATGCTGCAGAGTTGATTTCCTTCTAAGTCTCCAGTGAGATTCAAAATTTCTTGAAGTGGGGATTGGCTTTCTCTCCTGTCTAATGGCTGGGTTTGGTATTAACATTCTTCAGACATCTTGAGCACTGTACCTTGTGGCCTCACTCTCTCCTGCTTCCTCCTTCGCAGATGCCTCATCCTGGCAGTACTGATCAGTCCCATAGTTCCATGCAGCAAGGTTTGCACGCACTTCACCCCAGCAGCCAGTCAGGGCAGCCATTACACCACAGTGATCCTAGCCAGCAGCCCCGGCAGGCTGGTTCTAGCAACCATCCGCACAGTGATCTGACCTTTCGCCCTTCCTCCACCTTGGAAGGTCAGGCTGGTGGTCAGGGAACGTCCGACATGCCGGAACCCTCACTGGATGTAAGTGTGCGTCATGCTCTCATTTGCCTGCCCCATCCACTGCTAGCAAATTCTGGGCACAGCAAAGCGCCTCATGTCAACATCATTGTTTTATACATTTTTCACGTGTTACTTTGTACTGCAGCAGCCTAGGAAGGGAGAAGTTTGCTTGGCTGCCTCATTTACCTGTCTATTTTGAAGAAATGACTTGATTCATTGTATAAAATGTGTCCAAATGGCTATACAATGAAAGAAAAAGACAAAGAGGTCAGGGACACAACAATTGGTTCACCTTGATCATGAATATTGTCCGTTGAGAACAGCAGAGGCCCAGAAATGCACCATGATGTTTATGAAACATACAATTGAAAGGCTGGCTGTACCACAAAAATGTTCTTAACATGACCTGTTTTTGAACCAATGCTTATTTTAAACTGAACATGGTGGAAGGTATTTATAAAGCAATGCAGGGGTCACCTGTCATGAACTGGTTCTGGGCATGTTGATTATTAAGAACTAATGTCAGAGTGAGTAGGCCCAGTTTTTCTCTTGAGGATCTAAATAGTGGAATGAGGTGGAATGGCCTCACGGACCCTTGGCCTGAGCTCACCTCGGCATGAGGGGGGTGAATCTCCACTCACTGATGTGGATGTTCTACCTGAAGTGAATTGAGTTATTTGTGGCCAGCACAGAGTCACAGCGCCAGTGTCCATTGTTCAGCCCAGTTTGATCCTCTCAGAGGCCAACAACGATGTCTGCTGTGGAAAATGGAAACTTAACTCTGTGGTAGTGCAGGGCAAGTGGAGGGTGCAAAGTGCTGAAACACTTAAGACAATCAGTGAAAGTAATCGGATCCCTGTTCCTAGATTTGGGAATTTCCAACCTCCCCACCCCTACACTCAACAATAAACTCTGCTACACAAGATGCAGTCATTGTACATGTCAAATGAGACCTTGATTCCACTCAACATCCCTCCTCCTAAGGCAATATCTTCTTTTCAGGATGTGGTTGGCTGTCTCACTTTACCGTCTTTTGCTTCACTTTGTCCACGTGACTGCTCAGCTGTTCCCTTTTGTTTTTCCCAGCGGACCTAGCTTGCCTTCATTGTTTTCAACACATTCCTTGCTATGATTTCCACCACCATCACCTCTGCTGACCAAATTGTGGGCAATTTAAAGCATTGTCCCTAGCTCTTTAAATGCTCTAGATCTGGATCATTTCCCTTCTGAGGTTGCTGTCCACACTTTGATCTCCCAACCTAGGCCACACGTGCACATGATAGAGCCAATAAGTGAAGCAGTAAGGCATTTTGTTTCCCACCAATGACATTCCTCACATTAGTAAGTACAAAAAGGAAGCGAAAATGGTTTAAAACTGATCATGTTACAGAAGCAAATGTTTTTTTTTGTGGCTAGTACAAGTCTTTCAGTTTGAAATATTGCCAGTTTCTCAGTGAATTGGATGAGCTTAATGGACTGTTGAATTTCCCAGACAATGGGACAACTTTTCAGCTTGATGCCTGGCTTTAAAACTGACACTAAGAATTGACCACCCCTTGTAGAAACTGCCGATTTTAATTTCCACAACAGAGATGAAACTTGTGCACTTCCTATAGCAGGTGAAGCTGGTTTTACACGTGAGAAGGTTAACTCAAAGAATCTGCAGTGAAATGTGTGTTAAAAGTTATAATTAAAGGTGTGTGCTCAATGCCAGCAGGCCAATTGGAAAAAGACTGCAAGAATTGGCTTTCAAATCCATTTCCAAAGTCTCTATTCACCCACATTAATTTGCAACTGCCTGCACGGACCTCCACCGTTGTAGCATGTTTAAGGTGCTACATAAATACAATTTGCCTAAGGAAAAGTAGATCTTCAACTGCATGATTCCTGACCCCCCCAAGATGGTCCCATTTGTTAACGCTTATACCATCTCAGCAATTGACAGAATCAAGGACTAATGCTATCAGCAAACAAGAAGTTAGGTTTTCCCCTCCTGTGAAATGAATAATATCTGAAATGGATTATTTTGGAAGTTCATATATTTACAATGAGCAGCCTTTTTTTACTGACCACATAGGCATGTTTCATTTGAAAACTTTGCAGCTTTAAATTCCTTTGTGTCAATGCAATTAAGAGACCTTGTTGAATTATTTCTAGTGGGTTCTAATTTTAAACAAACGGTCCCACTTGTAAAAAAAAAAATCCCACTTTGAATATGGAGTGAATGTATTGTACTGCTACTGAGTTTGTCTAGTGTAAATGGCTGGCACCAACAGATAGTGAATTCTTGAACACCCAGAACAGCCAAAATATTCCACAAAACAGAATTCGGTTCAGATTCAAAATGGGCATTCTCACTTTTTTTGATAAAAAAGACTAATGGTAGAAGCATTTCAATTGGGTAACAGGATGCATCTGCACAAATTTAAATTATTTGCAGGATTTGCAATAAATATACCTCAAATTTACCATAAATTTGAGAAATCTTTGAAATTTCTGCTGCTATTTTGAAAGGAAGACATAAAATGCTTATGTTTTGAGAGTGAGGGCTGTGAAAAAGCAGAGATAGTTTGGAATGTTAATGAACATCCAAATGTGAATTTATTAACATTCGCACAATACTTGCTAAGTTTGGAATTGTAACTAACACATACAACACTAAAAGTTTTATCACCCAACCTCCTCAAAACATAATATCTTTGTATAATAGAACACAAGGTAAAAGTCGAGGCAAAACCATGGCATTATTGTTGCCGTTCACCTCTTCACTTGCAGCTCCAATACTCCTGTTTCTTCATAGCCAATATTTGCCATTCTATGATTGAAACATAAAGACATAGAAAGTAGGAGCAAGAGTAAACCATTCAGCCCGATCACAGCTGATCATGAAACTCGGTTACCCTGTTCCTGTTTTCTTCACAAACCCTTTGATCCGTTTAGCCCTAAAAACTCCATTTTTAACTCCTTCTTGAAAACATTTAATATATTGGCCTCAACCACATTATGTGGCAGAGAATTCCACAGACTCAACATTCCCTGGGTGAATGTTTCTCCTCATCTCAGTCCTAAAGTAACTTTCCCATATCCTTAGACTGTGACCCACTAGTTCTGGACTTCCCTGCATCCTTCCTGCATTTGCATTGCCTAGTCCTGTTCAGATTTTATAGTTTTCTTTTTAATGAGGTTCCCCTTCATTCTTATAAACTCCAGTGAATATAGTCCTGACAGATCCAGTCTCTCTACTTACATCAGTCCTATCATCCCAGGAATCAATCTGGTAAACCTTCATTGCATTCCATCCATAGACAGAACATACTTCCTCAGATAAGGAGACCAAACTACACACAATGTTCCAGGTCTGGTATCACCGATGCCCTGTACAATTGCAGCAAGACATCCCTACTCCTGTACGCAAATCATCTCACTGTGAAGGCATTTGCTGCCTTCACTGCTTGCTGCACCTACATGTTTACTTTTGGCAGATTGGATGACAGGTGATGCATGCCTTGCTATAATCAATGACTCCATCTAATAATGGGGATTTAAATTAGAAAAAGTTAGCCAGTGAAAAAGGGCAACTTTGGAATGCGGTTTGAGCCGACCGGATTCATGATGGAACCCAAATGGACCGTGGCTTGCACCATCAGATCATCTTAAAAAGTCCCCAGATTATTTCGGTTGTTATTTAACTTTATTCACTCAAGTGCTGCCAAGTATAGTGCTGTGATCAGAATATGCTGCAGATATTTTTAATCAACCTATTCAGATATGTTATAACACCTCTGGAGCAGGTGGAACTTGTACCCAGGCCTTCTAACTCAGAGGTACGGACACTACCACTTCACTTACAGAACAGACTACATCCAGTCCGCCCCAAAGGTTAATCACCTGCTTTTAAGTTGAAGGGAGGAGTGCAATATAACAAGTTGGCCTGTTAATTGGGTATTTAACATAGCACCAAACCAAACCCTTGTTAAACTGCTGCATCCATCTTATGACCACACTTGTTTGTCTAAGTTGTCCTTCTATCGGACTTGCGTTACCAGCCATAATTTGCAAGTGGGATTATTTCACACAATATACAAACTAGAGTTCACATCTTCTGGGTGACTCCAGCAAGAAAAACACACTTAGCTGCCTGTTGCTGCAGTATGATGGGGGCAAATTGTTCATGTCTTTGTAAAATCTGATAAAATGTACTGTTTTGATGACTGTGGTAGAAATTTGCTTTAGAAATATTAGGAAGCACAATGTGCAGCAACCCTGCTATTCCAGCAATAGGTTTATTTGCCTAATAGTAGCATATTCTTGAGCGATGACTGCGTTTTGTTCCTGTTTTAGGTAGACTTGATAACATTAAATTTTTGTCTGGTTCCTTACAGCTTATTCCAGAATTCACAAATCCAGATGAGCTTCTGTCCTACCTTGGCCCTCCTGACCTGCCCAGCAATAGCAACGATGACCTTCTCTCTCTTTTTGAGACCAACTGAAAGCCCGTCCCTTCATACATCCTCACCACGTAGCCACACAAGAAGTCAAAACACCCAATTCTGCAAGAGCTCATACACTAGATGAAATGATGCACTCCAGACTCCTCTTATGTCCAAGATGTTTGAATTGCACCGTCACATTGACTGAAAGCAGTGTGGGCGGTGGGAGAGGAAGCTTGTTAGGTGGTGCTGCCGCTTCACTGGAAACATCATTTATGATTGATTTTTTTTAAATTATTTTAAAAAAGGAAAAACCTTGTAGCTTTATCCAGTCAATTTTTGTGAACAAATAGGAAGAATTCCGTTGTGTAAAGTGTCCAGGCACTAAATTCAGGAACACAACAAAGAAAAGGGGAAGAATTGTTTTATGCAGGCCAATCCCCACCATTGCCTTTCTTCCACATTCCCGCTCCCCATCTTCGATACAATATACTAGAAACAGCTCCTTCACGCAGCAGCTCCAGTGAGAATTACAGAAGATGGACTGAGAGGAGGGATGGACATTAAAATGTATTTAGGTCAGAATGCAAGTAGAAAGCACAACAATGCTGGCCTGAATGTCCAATTGGGAATGCATGTACAAAAATGGTGGAAGGGAAGTCTTGGCCTCCATACCTGAAGAATCTTCTTCTAGTGCTGTGTATTTCGGTACATGTACAAAGATTTTTCCTGTTTGTTCTTTTATCATTGTTTTGCAATTAAGAGACTGTTGGCAGCCTGCAAGTCAAATGCAAATATATCCATTCCTTGCAGAGTTTTATTGCAAAGCACAGGTGTCTTGCTGGCATTATCGTGCCACACCGGCATTGTGTCCACACTGGGCCAGTCATTAAGAAATCTCAATATTCACAGCTCGGCCTCAAAAGCAAATTGTCGGTCTTATGATAGTGTACAGCAGAAGCAGCAAATGTCGGAAAACTTGCTGCAGCAATCAGATTGGTGAGCTGGGTAAGATTCACTGCCGAAAAAGCTGGGAACCCTGGCGTTCAGTGGCTGAAGATATCTGCAACATATTCCTGGTTTGTGTTTTCCCTTGAAGACTGTTACAAGTCCTGGGAACCACAACACTGGCCGTGCACCAGGGATGTTTTCTTCTTTTACTACACTGACACCTCTTTAACCTGCATAAGCGCACCACACTTCTTTGGTCCTCATTTTGTGCGGACGTTTCTTTCTCACACTGTGCTGTTCAATGGTAGAATGACAGGACGGGGGAGAAACAAATACCTGCATGTGTGCGCGACAACTACCCTGCATCTGTGCAGTCCAAATACAGATTAACTGTACCAATAAACTTGATTGAACTGCATACTCTGCACCTCCCAAAAACCTGTACATTTTTATTCTGCAACACTACCTGTGCTACGTAATTGCAAGTGCCAGAGGAATTTGTTGCATTTCCAATTAGTTTTTATTACCTTTTTTTATTATTATTATTACTATGCTGATCCTTTTTCTTTTCAATGTACAACAAAATGATCTGAACTTAGCTTGCCACTGGAAGCTTGGACGATGCTTTCATCACCAAAGTCACTAGTTTATTTTACCTACATTTTGCTCCTTCTAGATGACAAAATCTGATCCATCTCTGCTGTATGTGCATAGTTATGTATGCTAGTTACCAGTACTCAGCTGTAGATATTAAAATGAATGGCTATTTGCCTTTGCTAGTAGCAGTATTGAATCTGTAATCGTTACGTAGAAAGTTGCCAAGTAATTGAATACATTTGAGGTTCTTTTTCTCTGTCTCAAGTTAAAGGCGATGTTCAGTATGCAAATTGATTATTTTAAAAGGCTATTGTAAATACCTTTGTGAATATTTTAGTAACGTCTTTGATAATATTCAACATTTTCCATGATCAGATTGGTTGTCTTTTTCTGTGGTTTTTAAATTGTGGTCCCACTTTCAAAGAGGATTCTTCTACAGAGTAGAGGAGTATACTCCACCTTGACCCAAAAACTGAAAATATAAAAATTACGAGCAAAAGTGTTTCCCTTCTTTACTAAGCCTCTGAGCTTTCTAATGTGTTCCATTAAAGTGTAAGAGAGAACACAAACACGAGCGTAGGACAGTTCATTTCTGTTAAGTGAATAATATGTTTCGTTTCTTGGGAATATTAACAATTTAATCAAGAGTTTTGACATTCAATTCTTGGAATTGTTTTTACTGTAAGGGAAGTTTCTAAATGTAAAATATTCTACTGCAATTGTTTTTAATTGTCAAAACAAGTTTGAGAGGGAGTGGGCTGTAAGGCATTTGGCTGAATTTATTACAGTAACGTTTATGAATAGGCAAGATATGCAGATGAGGAAAAGCAGGAAGGATATTATTTTGAGATTTTCACTTAACAGAAATTTGGGCAGTCATAAGTGCAGATTTGAGTACATTTTTATCTCTGGGTATGGATGTTGGATAGTTCAAGGAAGTTCAATTATAAAATGTTGGCCTGCATTGCATTCTTCTGATTTGGCACCTCTGTGTGATTTGCCCCAACATCAAAGCTAGAAGGTGACATTTGTCACCAAACCAATTGGCTGTAAGTGTGAATTGACACTTACGGGATCACCAGCTTTGGTGGTTGAGTTCACCTGGTGGCACGTGGCACTTTTCCACTCCACAGCTCCAGTCCTGGCTTCTGCTTGTGTGGATGCAATGAGGCTTCATTCTGCAACCCTTTTTTAGTTTCTTCCCATTTTAAAACTAGCCAGTCCCTTGGTCTGGCAAGGTACTGGTTCATTATTGAGAACTTGTTTGTTTGAAACAGCTTTCACAAAAACATGTAGGATAAGTGAAGAGTATCCAATGACAAAACAATGCACTGCCAATGTATTTTTCCCAAAAAAAATTCTAACATGTTTTAATGTTATTTTAAAACAAAAGAAGTCTGCTGGTGAGTGAGCACTGGCATGTTTGGTGTTGACTCTTTTTTTAAAAGCTGTTTCACAACTGTAGTTCTCATGGTTTTATAACAGTCATTGTGGTACCCTGGCTGGGAAGGAACCTCCGTGATCTTTGAGTCCCTGCTCAGACTTCTGTAGGACAAAGCAGACATACCATCGTCTATGGTAAGGGACTAAGGGACATGTGTACATAATGTAAATGACAAAGGGAGACATGTTCAATGTAAAGATAAGTCCGTTCATTTTCCTGAAATGTGCATTGTCTCAACAAGCTTGTAATCCATCAGAAGTGACTGTGTGGAAAATGAATACTGTTTGTTATCTTTCGTGAAGTTCCAGCATTCATTCACCTCTGTAATATACTCTGAACCTTCAAAAGAAACCTTTGTTTTACCTACGTGTAATACTTAGCTTCAGTGTATTATCTAGTAGATCACCTGCATATTTTTAAGGTGCTACAAAATTAATGAAGAAAATTGAGGGGTTTAAAAAGATTGTAACCAAATTCATAGTTTGTACAATTTTTGATATCATGATCATTCAAGAATTCAAAAAGGGTACAATCTCTGTGTCACATGCAGAAATGGCCATTTTTTTCTTTCCGTTTGTACATTGTATGTACAATGCAATCATTTCATACTTTAAACTGGTCAGAAAACTAATTGTGATTTTTAGTCTTGCAAACTGTATGTAGTTAGATGATGTGACAACCTAATATTTATCTAATAAATATGTATTCAGATGAAATGGAGTGCTGCTTGTTAATTTTAAGGGAATGTATGGAGAAGAAAAGAGAAGCAGGAGAAAAGGTGTGCGCTGAGAGTTCAAACAAGGTGCTTTCACTCCTGGAGCTTGTTTGAATCCAGTGCAGTTTATGGGATGAAGGTCTCCTCTCTCTAGCTCTCTACATTTCATATAAACGTAGAAAATAGGAGCTGCAGTAAGCCAGTTGGCCCTCTGAGCCAAATTCCACCAATCAATATGATCATGACTATTCATCTGACTCAGTATCCTATTCTTTATTTCTCCCCAACTCCCCCCCCACCCTGATCTCTTTAGCCTTTAGAACTACATATAAATCCTCCTTGAAAGCATTCAATTTTTTAGCCTCAATTGCTTTCTATGGTAGAGAATTCCACAGGCTCACCACTTGCTGGGTGAAGGCATGTCTCCTCATTTCAGTTCTAAATGGCCTACCCTGTATCCTTAGTGACACCCAAGTTCTGGACTCCCTGGTCATCTGGAACATCTTTCCTGTACTTGACCCTGTCTAGTCCTATTTGAATTTTATAGGTTTCCAAGAGATCTCTCCTCATCCTTCTAAATTCCAGTGGCTATAGTCCCAACGCTTCCAGTCTCTCTTCATATATCGGTTCTGCTATCCCAGGAATCAATCTGGTAAGCTTTTGTTGTGTTCCCTCCACAGCAGTAACATTGTCAGAGAGACCAAAACTGCACATACGACTCCAGGTGTGGCCGTAACAAGGCCCTGCACAATTCCACCAAGACATCCCTGCACGTGCACTCAAATCCTCTCACCATAAAGGCCAACGTACCATTTGCTGCCTTCATCACCTGATGCACTTGCCTGCCTACTTTCAGTGCCTGGCGTACAAGAACACCAAGGTCTCATTGTACCAGACCCTTATCCAATCCACATTTTGCTACTAACGTGGATAACTGCACACTTACCAATGTAATACTGCATCTACCATGCATTTGTCTGTCAACCAGCATAAATTGGCACTGAAAGTAGAAATCAGGAATTTGAATAGCTGAGCAGTGAAATGAAGCAGGTTGGAGTCTCGTGCTTAGTGAGTCTGTTGGGTGTAAAAGATGTGTTCAATTTGCGAAACTCAAACTTGGTTTCTCAGGAAAATAAAGAACAGAGAGATTAAAACTTACTTGCAATTATCAATCATCCAGCTCATTCACAATTTGATAAGATGGTGCCTAATGACTATTTGCTCACACCTGAATTTGCCCAAATGTTAGACTGTTGTAACACCCATGTCTGCCATGATTGCTGTAAAACACAGGCCACATAAGTCCTGTTCAAGTGGTGAAATAAAATTCCATTGAATTTGGTTTGATATCGCAGGACCTCTTTACTAATGGTACCAAATATTGTGGTATAATCATTAACAATCCCCATGCATTTGAGAGTTGATTTCGGAATGGGAGCTTGAATATCAAATTGTCTCTCATTGGAAAGTAAGTTATAGTTAGACACTAACCTTCTAATTCTCTTCTACAAACTCCTGGGAGGTCTCCTGTTGTTTAGCCACTGACCTATTACACATCTGGGGGCTTAAGTTGTGTTATATAGGGTGGTGCTAGGTTTTTAAATCCATATGGTACCGGGCTGTAAGGTCATGTGTGAACAGTTCCACCCTTCTTCCTTATGACCATGGCATAAACGTTTCACAGTGTAAAACTGTTTAGCAATGTTATTATAATTTTCCAGTGATTTACTTCTTCACATTAATCTTCTCAAGTCTTCATGTTCATTTCTAGGAATCTATTGTAATGTCTGTGTGAATCTTTTTGTATGCACATGTTAATGAATAAATAGCTCCAGAGACCAGAAGTTGGTTTCAACTTGTTTCTTCTGATATATGTATTTAAGCTAATTAGACACAATTTGATGCAATTATCTCTTAACTAAGTGCACTTTTCTACCAATGGGAAACAATAGCATGTACAAGAATAAGGGTTGCAAGCACAAGAGAACACCACCAACTGCAAGAAAGCTCCCTCCAATTAACAGATTTTTATGGCTTGGCTCCTTAATTATTGTTGAGCTTGAATCCATGACTGTGGGTGTAGCTACAACATGAATACTAAAGAGACATTTTAATACTGTCCTGTCAAGGACCACTTGGGCAGACAATACATTATAGTCTTGCCAGTGACTTCCACAGCCATTGAATGAATGAAAGGACATTTCAGGACATTTCCTGCCGTTGCTACATGACAAGCCAAAAGCATGGTTTGCATTTGTCCACAAAGTCCTCTCATTGTTCAGATCAAAGCAACTTGCAAAGGAAACACAGAGACAGAGTCATACAGCATGAAAACAGACCCTTCGGTCCAAATAGTCCATGCCGACAATGTTTCCAAACCAAATTAGTCCCACTTGCCTGCGTTTGGCCCATATCCCTCCAAACCTTTCCTATTCATGTACTCATCCAAATGCCTTTTAATGTTGTAACTGTACCTGCATCCCCCACTTCCTCTGGCAGTTCATTCCACATACAAACCACTCTATGTGTTAAAAAAAAGTTTCCCTTTATATCCTTTTTAAATCTTTCTCCTCTCACCTTAAAAATATACCCCCTAGTTTTGAATTCCCCCACCCTATGGAAAAGACCCTTGCTATTCACCTTATCTATGCTCCTCATGATTTTTGAAACTTCTTTAAAGTCACTCCTCAACCATCTATGCTCCAGTCAAAAAAGTTACAGCCTATCTTTATAATTCAAACGTTCCAAACTCAGTAACATTCCGGTAAATATTTTCTGAACCCCCTCCAATTTAATTATATCCTTCCAATGGCAGGGCAACCAGATCTGTATACTGTACTCCAGAAGAGGCCTCACCAACGTTCTGTACAACTTCAACATGACATCCCAACTCCTATACTTAAAGGGCTGAGCAATGAAAGCAGCGTGCTAAACACCTTCTTAACCACCCTGTCTACATGGTTTAATTGTTTAAAGAGCGAGCCTTGCTCATGAAGCTTGATATCTGACCTTCTGATTTCTGCTAGCCCTGCATTGATGTAGGCTTGCTGCAGGGATGTTCCACATTCTATTATTTGCCCTGGATATAAAAAACCAAGGCAAAGTTTGGATAAAACATTCTACGTACTGTCCACATATCTCCATATGTTTATTCATTTTCTTGTTGCTGATAAACTACATTTATTTCCCAGACCTGGTGACCCTTGGAAAAAGTGGTGGTGAGGTTTCTTGAAGTCTGTGTGGTGAAGGTGCTCACATAGTGTTTTTATTTAGCAATTTCCAGAATTTTGAATCAGGAGCAATGAAGGAACAGTAATTTATGAGGAAGTCTGCATGCTATGTGACTGGGTCACCTTGGAGTTCTAATGTGCCTGCTGCAAATCATTCTAGGTGGTAGACATCATGGTTTTAGTAGACCCTGCTGAAGGAACCTTGGTGACTTGTTACAGCACATCTTGTAGCTGGTACTGCAGACACAGCACACAGTGGAGGGAATGATGTTTAAATAATTAAACCATGTAGATAGGGTGGTTAAGAAGGTGGTTAGCACGCTTGCTTTCATTGCTCAGCCCTTTGAGTATAGGAGTACAGTTCTGAGGAAGGGTCACCGGACCCGAAACGTTAACTCTGTTTTCTCCTCCACAGATGCTGCCAGGCCTGCTGAGCTTTTCCAGCAACTTTGTTTTTGTTGTCTTTGAGTATAGGAATTGGGATGCCATGTTGAAGTTGCACAGAATGTTGGTGACACCTCTTCTGGAGTATTGTATACAGATCAGGTTGCCCTACCATACCAAGTATATAATTAAATGAGTAGACTGCTTTGTTTTGGACGGTGTAGAGCTGCATGTGATGTTGGAGCTGCACACATTCAAGCCACTGGAGTGTATTCCATCAAACTCCTGCGTTTGCTTAAGGTTGTGGAGAGGCATTCTGGAATAAGAATGGAGTCATGGAGGGAGAGCTAGCCATTTGGATACAAAATTGGCTTAGAGGTAGGCAGTTGTCTTTCAGACTGGAGGCTTGTGACCAGTGGTGTGTCACAAGGATCGGTGCTGGGATGTGAATTTGGAAGTGAATATTGGAGGAATGACTAGTAAGTTTGCAGATTACACCAAAATTGGTACTGGAGTGGACAGTGAAGAAGATTATCTCAGATTACAACAGGACATTAATCAGATGAGTTGATGGGCCGAGGAGTGGCAGATGGAGGAGTTTAATTTAGATAAATGTGAGGTGTTGCATTTTGGTAAGGCAAATCAGAGCAGGACTTACACATTTAATGTTAGGGTCCTAGGCAGTGTTGCTGAACAAAGAGACCTTGGGGTGAAGATTCATAATTCCTTGAAGGTGGAGTCACAAAGTAGAGAGGGTAGTGAAGAAGACATTTGGTACGCTTGCCTTTATGGGTTACTGCATTGAGTATGGGAGTTAGGATATCATGCTGCAGGTGTACAAGGCCTTAGTAAGGCCACTTTTGGTATACTGCATTCAGTTCCAATCTTCCTGCTTTAGGAAAGATGTTGTTAAACTTGAACGGGTTCAGAAAAGATTTACAAAGACGTTGCCGGGCTTGGGGGTTTGAGCTATAGGGAGAGGCTGAATAGGTTGGAGCTATTTTCCCTGGAACACCAAAGGCTGAAGGGTGACCTTATAGAGGTTTATAAAATCATGAGAGGTATGGATAGGGTGAATAGCCAATGTCTTTTTCCCAGTGTAGGGGAGTTTGAAACTGGAGGGCATAGGTTTAAGGTGAGAGGGGAAAGATTCAAAAAGAATCTAAGGTGCAACTTTTTCACGCAAAGGGTGGTGCACGTATGGAATGAGCTGCTAATGGAAATGGTGGAGACTGGTACAACAACAACATTTAATAAGCATCTGGATGTGTACATGAAAAGGAAGACGGATATGGGCCAAATCCTGGCAAATGGGACTAGATTAATTTAGGATGTCCAGTTGGCACTGATGAGTTGGACTGAAGGGTCTGTTTCTGTGGTGTGCAACTCTGTAAGTATAATTTTTTGGTGTCAAACCCAGTCAAATTCTATTTTGACATGAAAGGCAAACCCCTTTAACATGCTTCTGGAATTCAGCACAGGGTGAGGACTGGAACTGAGGCGTTTCCTCCTGAGACAACCCTAAGCTGAGTACGTTCTTGGTGAGTGATTACCACTTATGCTGCCTGCTCCCCCAGTGACATCCCCAGGCACTCAGGCCAAACAACCAACTTTTTAGCTGTATTTGTTCAAACCTACCAAATACTTTCAAGCCTTCCAATCATCTTTTACTGTCTCCAAATAACTCCAGCTATTCAACAATGGCAGGTACATCTCCCAAACACAGTGAGTATAGACTTCAGAATGGCATAGTGAGAGTTGCCAGGCACAATGGGTCACAAACAGGCCAGGGCAGAACTGTGATTTCTTTACTGTTTCACAGGACTGTGTGGTATTTGTGATGCAGGACTTGATGCAGACCTTCAATATGGCAGTAGAGCACAATGCCCCAAAATTCACCTAATATTAATGTCAGAAATGAAGGTGGAAGTTATTATTTCAATCCAAAGGGGTTTCTTCTACTTTCAATTATCATACCTGTGATGAGTTCTGTTCTGAAATGAAATTGATGTTTAAGATAAGGCAGGCTACTGTTAGAAAGCCTGGAAAGACAAACTGTTCTTCATCAAAAATGGAATACGCTTTGTTGATATTGAACAAAGGCTCAAGGATGTGCACTTGCTTTGATGAAACATGCCTGAAATATGAAGCTTGGAAAAAGGAATCACAGACCATAGCACACAGCAAATTATTAATATTCCTAGTGCATTACGGAAACCATTTCTTGAGAGAACATTCCACGTTGAATTTATAGTTTTGAGTCACTTTAATTGATTTGACTGGGGAAATGACAATTGTTTCATTTTTCTAAAATAAAACAACACTGGAGTCTGAATTATGGTTAGATTGGCAAGTGACCAAATGTCATTTAAATCAGACAATTTTTTTGCAAATAAAATTAGGGCAGCAGTCTCCAAACGGAGATGGTAAATATCTGATGGTTTCCAAGTTGATGAATTTTCTTTAGGACATCCAGCCCATCTGTCTCACAACCAAATACGACATGTAGAAAGCATCCAATCTGCAAGATTCAAGTCAGTGAGTTCAGCCGATTCTGCATCCACTGAGGGCAAGTTTACCAAAATCCATCAATCACCATTAAACAAGAAAAAAGTGTGGAGAACAAGGTTGAATAGCTGGAGTTATTTGGAGACAGTAAAAGATGATTGGAAGACTCGAAAGTATTTGGTAGGTTTGAACAAATGCAGCAGAGAAGTTTGTAAGTTTGTTGTTTGGCCTGAGTGCCTGAGAGTGTTATGGGGGAGCCATGGTGGTGTGGTGCACAGGCAGCATGAGTGTTAATCCAATACAGTAAATAAATGAACACTGAATATAGGGAAACAGGTTCATTAAGGCATTCAAGAGGATATTGGAGGAATATGTGAATAGAAATGACAGGTAGGGATACAGAAAAAAGGCAGGCGATTGGCATTAGGTTTTAGAACTGACGCAGGCCACATGGTCTCCTCCTACACCATAACAATTTTGTGAACAACAAACATGAGTAACCACTGAATACTGCAGTAAATTTTCCTGAGGGAGAATACAAAGTTACCATGCAGTTTTAGCTTAGAAGATAATAAAAACAATTGGGATCCATTCATATTGGACCCAATATTGGCCTTGGAGAAGAACACCTGCAACATAAACTAAGAAGCTAACAAGGAAATAAACATGTTCTATACGCATTCATACCACTGACACGTACATTCAGCTCTTCTAGAAATGTCGAACAGGATTTCTGGACTTGCAAGACTTGTCAGACACTAAAGTGAAATGGAGAGTGACAGATAGAGAGATAATGGAAGCTCTAATTAGGAACGCAGTTTGCAGAAGGATACTGAAAGTCAGTAGCTGTACAAGTCGGTAATTTCAGCTGGGGTTTGCTGGTTGCAATTGGAGGCAAGTCATGGGTGATCTCAGTCAGAAGAACAGACACTGAAAATTGGAACAGAAGACTGACAAAAACTGCTGGGCTGTCTCTGGAATAGATCAAGAATTTGGATATCTCTGATAAACTGTAGCATGGTGGTGCCATCAGCTCAGAGTGAAAGATTTGGGTTCGCAATAGCTGTTAGCTCAGTGTTGAGACAGTAAGGATAGGTTAAGTGTTGCCAAAAAGTTATTTCAACGATAGTGTTGTGTTCTCAGGCACTTTCATCAGCTGCCATGGTGAGATTTGAACCATTGTCCCGGGAGAATTAGCAAGTGCCTCTTGGATTACAAGTTTAGTGATATTACCATCATCTTCTCACATGTACAATCTGGTGCTGTAGTTAGCTTTGAGGCAGTTCTCTTAGATTGTGTTTTGCACTTGTGATAGTGGAAATAGCAGGTCTGGCAGCATTGGTGGAGGCAGGAAGAGAGTTAACATTTTTGGTGGAATATGATTCTTCTTCAGCAACAATCCTCTTACCGTGCAATTTACAATTGTGATTGATGGTTGTTCTCGGTTATATAATCCTGACAGCTTGAAAGCAGGCCATTCAGCCCATCAGGTCCACACCGCCTCTCCGAAGGGCATCCCACCAGACCCACCCCCTACCCTATCCCTATAACCCTGCATTTCTCATTAGTAAAATAAAATGCTTAATCATAACAGAGAAACATTGTAGATGCAGGAAATCTGAAATGAAAACAGAAAGTGCTGGGAACACTTTCTGCAAGAGTTTTATACAACCTCAAATGTTAATACTTTCCACAGATGCTGCCTGACCTGCTGAGTGTTCTCATTGACGTTGATAAAATACATAATACTCTTTTCAGTGGACTAGTTACTTCTTTGAAGATTTATGTTTTATTTGCCTTCTTTAATTCAGAATGAAGGGTTCCAAGTTAAGGCTACAACATTCAGATAGGGCCATTAATTAAAATTCAACAATTTGACATGTCATTGGCATGACCACAGCACAGCACAAACCTTCAATTCAGTCATCAAGGCTGTGGAGGTTTGTGAAAAAAAGGATTTTTTTTAAATCAAGATGTTATTTGACAAAGAGCCACTAAGTCAACACACACAGGACACAAAAGAAGATGGGACTTGCTGCAAGTTAAGACATGAGCAGTGAGTTTAGGATTAGATCAAATTTACTGAGGGTAGAAAATGGGAGACTAGCCTGGAAAACATCCCAACACATGTCATAACAGCTTGTTCAGGCAAGCCTGGATATCAAGACAATGAGATGGCTATTGAGACAGGTAAGAACAAAATTAGAGAAAAGATGTAAGAAATATAGGAAGGAGACAGATTAAAAATCAGAGAGGATGAGCGAGAACATTCCAATGTTTAGGGATGTGATGACTGAATGTCCTGGATTAAATGGGAGATGTGGAAGAGGCCAGGGTTGAATGAGTTTTCAAAGACTTGCACACTGAGAATAGGTAACAGAGAAAGGGAGAACTGATCACACAGAGCTTGGCAGAAGCTGATGCACTACTGCATTAACTCACCAAGACTCCTTCAACAGAACCTAACAAACTGGTGACCTCTACCACTTGAAACGACAATGGCAGCAGATAACCATCCCTCTTCTGTCTCATGAGATGATAGTTAGTGTTGTGGTGGTCAATCTGTGTTAAGCGCCACTCTGGTTTGACAATCCACATTTACTGCAGATGAAGACACAAGGCTGAGAAAGTACACAATTCACCTACTAATCTTCCCTATCATCAGCCTTTCTTTCTCTCTGCTCACCATTAGCCATCTCGCCTGACAAAGGGGCTACATTCTGAAAGCTTGTGGTTCCAAATAAACCTGTTGGACTATAACCTGGTGTAGTGTGACTTCAGACTTTGTCCACCCCAGAATCTCCACATCATGCCTAACTACTGTTCTCTGAGCTCCAACTCCACCTATCATTACCTCCTTTGCCACCATCCCAACCCCTCTCCTGAATATATGCCACCCTTTTATCAGCTGCAATCAGTTTTGAAGAAGGATCATTGGACCATTCCCAGTTCCTTCCCTGAGATGTTTTTTTTCCTGACAATCAACAATGATAGGATGGTTATTATTAGACTCTTAATTCCAGATTTTTAAAATTGAATTTAAATTCCACCATCTGTCATTGGCAAATTTGAACTTGGTTTCCCAGAACCATTACCCGAGTCTGTGGATTAACAGTCCGATAATAATACCATTAGACCATCACCTCCCCCAAGTTATGAGTGTTTGATGGAGGAAGTTTAGAGAGAGCTTTACTTTCTGTTTAAGAGTTCAAGCTGTATTTAGCCTATTGCTGTACCTGACCTGGGAGTGTTTGATAGGGTCAATGCAGAGGAAAACTTTACTTTCAGCTCAGAAGAGTGGAAAGAGCTTCACTTTCAGTTTTAAAAAAAAAGTAGAAAGTCTCATGAGATAATGGTTAGTGTTGTGGTGGTCATCTCTGAGTTACGCCCCATTCTGGCTTGACAGATGAAGACAGTGGACTGAGAAAGTACATGATTTAGTCTTCGCTTATACGGCTGTCAAGCAAAGCTGCGCAGATATCCTTGGCTCAGTAATGAGTGGGTGCCGATGGGTCCAGGACCTCCTGCAATGTTTAGGTGGTCATTTACAGTATCAAGCACATCATATGTCATTCCTAAGGACACTAGATAACCCCTCGTCCTGTCTCATTCGCTTCTCCACCACCTTGCAACAGGCTTTCGAGCAATTTTACTTGCAAAAACTATACAAAGGTTATCTAATGTTTATAGGGATTCCGTGAACCAATCCAATGATGCTGTACAGGAACTCATTACACTTTTCCAAAGGCGGGGTGAGCAGAGTGCACCCGATTCGTTCAAATGAATCACGTTAACGGATACATCCTCAATTGCTGTGACGGCGTCCACACCCTGAACATACAGGCCATCGCCGGAATCAGAATGTGTAGCGCGAAGGGTAAGCAAAACCCCCGGGTTTTCATGGATATCACTGCAGACGGGGAGCCCCTGGGTCGCATCGTGATGGAGGTGAGTGTAATGGTTCTGCGGACATTGGGGCTGAGGGAATGGGGGAAAACATACTCGCCAGGTCAGGCGACATAACTTGTGAGTGAGAAACCTCTCGGACGGTTTACCTTTTCACGGCAACTTCGAAATAGCTTTCGAGCAAAGAGGGAACCAGGAAATGGGGGCGGGTAAAGAAGAAAATTAAACAAAAACGATTGCAATTATACTGAGGAAAGTTGGAGGGTGGGGGAACTTTAAAGAATTCTAAAGCAGCACTTTTCGTGGACGTGCTGAAGCGAGGGGATTAATTAAAGGCAACATTAAACTGGAAGGAATGAGCTGGAGGCATTTGCGGATACGACTTGGAATATCGCCAGAGAGTTCAATTCATCCGCATTCCTCCTCCAGGGCGTGTTCATGCAATGAAGCAAACAGTAGTAGGTTGCGAAATCCAAGTCTGCCGTTCTGAAAAGCAGGCACTGGACTCATCATAGAGCAGTTTTTCCGCCGCCTCCGCCTCCACGCTTACTTCTCTGACCGTGAACCTAACCCCCCTTCTACTGACCCCTTCTCCCGCTTCCAACACACCCCCTCCTCCTGGACACCACCCCAAGGCCTCCTACCCTCCCTCGACCTCTTCATCTCCAACTGCCGTCGAGACATCAATCGCCTCAACCTCTCCACCCCTCTCACCCACTCCAACCTCTCCCCCGCAGAACGTGCAGCCCTCCGCTCCCTCCGCTCCAATCCCAACCTCACCATAAAACCTGCGGACAAGGGAGGTGCAGTTGTAGTATGGCGCACTGACCTCTACATCGCCGAGGCCGGACGCCAACTCTCCGACACCTCCTCCTACCGCCCCCTTGATCAAGACCCCACCCCTGAGCACCAAACCATCATCTCCCAAACCATCCACAACCTCATCACCTCAGGTGACCTCCCACCCACGGCCTCCAACCTCATCGTTCCCCAACCTCGCACTGCCCGCTTCTATCTCCTTCCCAAAATCCACAAACCTGAATGCCCTGGTCGACCCATTGTCTCCGCCTGCTCCTGCCCCACCGAACTGATCTCCAACTATCTCGACTTCATTTTCTCCCCCTTGGTCCAGGAACTCCCTACCTATGTCCGTGACACCACCCACGCCCTCCACCTCCTCCAGAACTTCCAATTCCCCGGTCCCCAACACCTCATCTTTACCATGGACGTCCAGTCCCTCTACACCTGCATTCCCCATGCAGATGGCCTTAAGGCCCTCCGCTTCTTCCTGTCCCGCAGGCCCGACCAGTCCCCCTCCACTGACACCCTCATCCGCTTAGCCGAACTCGTCCTCACACTCAACAACTTCTCTTTCAATTCCTCCCACTTCCTACAGACAAAGGGGGTAGCCATGGGTACCCGCATGGGCCCAAGCTACGCCTGCCTCTTTGTAGGTTACGTGGAACAATCCCTCTTCCGTACCTACACCGGCCCTAAACCCCACCTCTTCCTCCGTTACATTGATGACTGTATCGGCGCCGCCTCGTGCTCCCACGAGGAGCTCGAACAGTTCATACACTTCACTAACACCTTCCACCCCAACCTTAAGTTTACCTGGACCATCTCTAACACCTCTCTCCCCTTCCTGGACCTCTCTGTCTCCATATCGGGCAACCACCTAGAAACCGATATTCATTTCAAGCCCACCGACTCCCACAGCTACCTAGAATACTCCTCCTCCCACCCACCTTCCTGCAAAAATGCTATCCCCTATTCCCAATTCCTTCGCCTCCGCCGCATCTGCTCCCAGGATGAGGCATTCCACTCCCGTACATCTCAGTTGTCCTCGTTTTTCAAGGACCGTAACTTCCCCTCCTCAGTGGTCGAGAACGCCCTCAACCGTGTCTCCCACATCTCCCGCACCTCATCCCTCACACCCCGTCCACGCAATAAAAACCAAAAAAGAATCCCCCTCGTCCTCACGTACCACCCCACCAACCTCCGGATCCAACGCATCATCCTCCGACACTTCCGCCATCTGCAATCCGACCCCACCACCAAAGACATCTTTCCCTCCCCACCTTTATCTGCTTTCCGGAGGGACAACTCTCTCCGTGACTCCCTCGTCCGCTCCACTCTCCCCTCCAGCTCCACCACACCCGGCACTTTTCCCTGCAATCGCAGGAAGTGCTACACCTGCCCCCATACCTCCTCCCTCACCCCCATCCCAGGCCCCAAGAAGACTTTCCACATCAAGCAGATGTTCACCTGCACATCTGCCAATGTGGTATACTGCATCCGCTGTACCCGGTGTGGCTTCCTCTACATCGGGGAAACCAAGCC